GTGTCATTTGGTTCATTCAACAAACGAAATGAACAAGTTGACTCGGGAAAAGATTTGTTCATTTTGATGCTTGAGTTCGAACTGGAGAGTCACAAACGCACATCACAGAACAGAGCAAGGCGACCATTTGAGCTTATAAAACTTAAACTTTGTTTTTTGTTTTTTTAATGAGTGATCGTTTCGCTTGATAAGACCCTTACTCATCATCTGAAATCGTTTAAAGCCCTTTGAACAGTTTGCGGTTTGCACTGAAACTGTCTTTTGGACCTTGAACCGTTTGGTTCCCATTGAAGTCCATTATGTGGAGAAAAATCCTGGAATGTTTTCATCAAAAACCTTAATTTTTTTTTTTCGACTGAAGAAAGTAAGACATGGACATCTTGGATGACATGGGGGTGAGTAAATTATCAGCAAAAGTGAACTACTCCTTTAAGAGTTAATAAAATTGGGTAAATGCATTGTAAAGTTCAGAGTCAAATTACCCCTTTTTGTGTTGATCAAGCAGTAGTTTTGAAAAATATTATTAATTTCTTGCAAAAGTATATCTAACACATTACTTTCCATTATTAGTAATTAAGTTACTTTTTTAGGAAGTAACACAATATTGATTTGTAACACATTACTTTTAAAAGTACTTTCCCCAACACTGGCAATAAGATTGAGTGTCCCGGCTTCAATGTAAATCTATGGTATTATTTTACATGTTAATTTGAGGTATCATTCATGTCTGTATCAAAAACTATAATAAATTTAAAAAGTACTATTACCCTTACACACCATTAACGATACACTTCAAATGGTCGTATATATTGCAATAGATCCCTATTAAGAACTATCAAAATAATAGCAAGAGTTGAAATAAAACTATGGTCTGGTTCACTCATTATGCATTTCATATCATAAAGATGCGCATACCATGGCATGCAGCGATGATTTGCCCCAGAATGCGACAGCATTTCATACGTCTGAACCTCCAAATGACCCACTTAAAGTGGCACTGATGCCATTAATACTTTCTCAGGTCATGGCACCTTAGGATATTCAAATCAAAACACTCAAAGAGAAAGAAAGACAGCGAGAAAAGAAAAGAAATCATGTGTGTCTCTCAGGAATGCCCTCTATATTAAATCTATAATAGAGTCGACTGCCATTGGCTATATCTAAAACATGCTCATTTTCCTGCAAACCCCAATATCCATGGGAAAACACTTTTCTCCCAACAGACAAATCCAGCCTTAAATAGGAGAAAGAATCTGAAGTTTCAGTTTAAATCAACTCACGGTTTAGCATGCAATTTTTTTTTTTATTATTATTGATTAAAACACAAAAACAAATCGGCAAGTCACATTTCACATTAAAATCAAAAGATTTCATAAAAATGAATACATATTATGGATTTTCGCGTCACTCAGTGTGAAAAAATATGTCATTCATAGAAAACTTTAAAGGGATAGTTCACTTTGAAATTATTTTTTTATATGTTTTAGCTTACCTCAAGGGCATCCAAGATGTACAGTAGGTGTCTTTGTTTCCACAGTATTTTCAATTTTGATATTTTTAGGTCAAACCGTCTGTGTCTATCAGTCATATAATGGAGGTATATGGTGTCCACCTCAAAGAGCATGCACAAAGAAGTCCAAGCTGGACCCCATTTACCTCCATTATATGACCGATCTGTTTGATTTAAAAATCTATATGAACAAGAAAACCATATTAAAGTTAACATGTAAGAATTATTTTTTCTTTTTCTTTTTAGGTACGACTAGAAACCAAGATCAAAACCCCAAAATAAGGCTGTAAACTGGCACAACAACTTAGCCAAGCATTTAATTTTAAAGCATTTAATTAGTGTTGTACTGATTTCATTGGCCCGTTGATGAACCAATGAAATGAAAAAGAGCCTCCAAGCCCCTGCTCTGCCTTTCCAGTCACGTAGCAGCATGGCATCTGGAGCGTTGTGGCGGGGGTCAATGTCAGCGAAACGGCACAAAACTCAACGTAAGCAATCAGATTACCAGAGAGATGCTAACTGGGCGATGAGAAGAGAGGGGGGTGCATCAATGCCTAATTAGCCACTAGCATGTTCTCTTTAATAATGCAGAATTAAAAAGCCAGGAGGACCACACACACTCATGTTCACACTACAGTGGGGTTCACCCTCATTCAAGTCTCAGTGGGCCCCAAAACTCAACAACACAAGCAGAAGGAGTCCCAGCAACTTACAGAACAACGGTAATGAATAGAGAGAGAGAGCATTTTGTTTGTGCTCGTATTCTGAATTTGTGACGAGGGAGTTGTCATCACGCTTTGTGGCTGTATGTCAGGCGCAGTATTCACTCAGGGGTGGACTGTCAGGGAAAGGCCCTGTCTCATTACACAGAAGCTGTGTGCTGGTTGGCTCTGTGCATCCACCACTGGGGTCAGTGTAGGTTCCTATGGGGCCAGCATCTGTGTACTGACAGCTGGCACTCCAGGGAGTGTGTGACGCTCAGGCTCCCTGGGGCTCGGTACGGTACTGTACTGTACTGGATATGCAGGCAACGATAAGCTGAGCCAAGTTCATGTTATAGTTTTATTTGCAAATTATCTAATAATCATGGAAGCTTGTTTCCACCACAGAATAAAAAAGGTAATTGCAACTTTTTCATCTCACAATTCTGACTTTGTTTCTTGCAATTGTCAGATATAAACTTTTCTCAGAATGTTGAGTTTAGATCTTGCAATTCTGACTAAAAAAAGTCAGAACTGTATGAACTAAAACATCTTTTCACTCAGAATTGGTCTTTAGGGCCCAGTTTCACAGACAGGGCTTAGACTAAGCCAGGATTAGGTCAATTAGGACATTTAAGTAGCTTTTATAAATGCGACTTAGAAAAAAAATTTACTTGTGTGCATCTTGAGACAAAACAATGGCACTGACATATTTTAAGATATCACTGTAAGCTTAAAACATGTCTTGAGAGACACCTTGTCTGTGAAACCATCTTGCTTCCTAAAAACAATTCTCATTGTGAGGGAAGAAAGTCAGAATTGTGAGATAAAAAGTCGCAATTATCTTTTAAATTGTTTTTATTCTCCGTTGGAAACAAGCTTCCATAAAATATTAGCCTACTTCACTTTAATATAGGCCTACTTTAGTTAAATACCATACGTTATTTTATGGCTGAAATAAAAAGTAAGATTGCAAAAGATCTTATCGTGTAGCCTAAAACAGTGATGCAATCGTGTGACGTGATTACGTAGGCTACGTGGTTGTTTAGCCTCTGTAGAGAGGTTTTTTTTTTTTTTTGAGAGAAATGTATCTAGTACCAGTTTGACATTGGCTGCTTCATATTTATTCTTAAAATTAAAACGATGATAGCCGCGGTTGTCCACTACAGAAAAAAAAGGATATTTTTTCATCTTTTTTATTTTCGATAAAGCTGTCAGGTTCGCCCACGCGCGGCCTTTATTATTGGCGCGAGTTTATGGTAAATGAGCGTGCAGACAGCACATCACATTCTGAGTCATTTGGCGAAACTGGACGCTTAATTTTTAAGTTTAACCAATGGAGTATTCAAACCAAACCAACACTGCAAGTGTTTACGCCCTTTGAAAACAACCAAATGCAAGGGAGGTACCTGCATTCACATCACATCACCGAAGACCAACCGTCTCTAAAGGCTACATGTGTGTCATGCGCAGAACGGACCTGTCCTACATCATCCTCATTTCTTGTGGCAAACTTTTTTTCTAAACATCCAAGGTAAGCACGAATAAGCAACAATCAATGGTTGTGTTCGGAATTGAATGCTTGTACTGGTTATACCACGCAGTTACACTGGCTACAGTTTATTTCCGCAGGCCTATGCTGTACAATAATAAAGCCTACGGTGTAAACATTAGTAGGCCTATACAGTATTGTTTTTTGTTTTACATATTTCATAGCAAACATGATTAGTATGGTAGTATGCCATTCCAAACATAACCATTTTATTTATAAAAAGTCACTTTTAGATAGATATGTCCTACATGAAAACATTTTAATGTACGAATTGAATGAGGTTATTCAAAGCTAACTGACCAAAAATCACACATCTACTTTGGGGGATCCATGAGAAAGAAAGCAAAAGCTTAGGCCCTAAAGTGCATCATATGGAATACTTTCATGAATAAATGGAGTAAACTTAGTCCCTTAATCTTACTGCAAAAAAAAAAAAAAAAAAAAATTAATGGCAAAAGTAAGGGGAAATAGTGTAGTGTCATTTAAGACCACAGAAACCGTATAAGAGCTAGCCTAGGTTCCCGTAATGCTGGAAATGAAACTGGTCCATCAGAAGTTTTTATACTTTATTACCATAGAGAGAGTTAGCAACAGAGTTGTTCTCCAGAACCCACTGCCCTCGCTGTGATCCGCACCTTGTGTCAGCATCACCCTAGATAGAGACATTATTTCTCTCACCCTTTTTTTATACACCCACGGTTTTCATTTTGCATTCATTTCATTGCCTGGAGTCATGAATTTTTCATCACTGGTTTCATGATGAATAAAAGATGAAAAAGGGAAGGACATAGAGAGCTGGAGTATCTGTGTGTTTGTTTATCGTAACTATGTGAGTCCACAAAAGGCACTGATACAAATCTGTCACCACGCTGTATCGTTCTCTAGACTAGAGTGATAAAGTACACCACAGTGTTTCCTGTACAAATGTGACACCATAACACCAGTGTTAATTTTTCCAAATATGCAATGTGCATTACTTTTCTATTTATTTAATTAGTTGATTTTATTTGCTTAATTTATTTTCCGGGAAAAAACATCCTAATGTACAGAAAAATAGGGATATATATTAAGATGCTTGTTGTAGTAAAAGCATAATGGGAATGTAGTTCTAGGGAGTGTGTCTTAATGGAAGAAAAGTTTTCTTTCAATCCATTTTTTGCTCTGGAGAATCTTAAGGTAGCTGATGGTGGGAAAACATAACACAAAAGTAACTCAAAACATTACTTTCCTTTAAAAATGTTTGATAGTTTTTATAATGAGAAGCACTCTACTTTTATAAATATACCAATTTGGAACAATACATTTTCAAATACAAATAAATGTGAAAACTTCCCCAATGCTAACGGTAATCACAATGGTTCAAATGACTCAGGAGGAAGAAGTATTTAAACAGAAAGGTCTAATTTTTTACCAGTTCGTCATCCGCTGAAGTAATTTTTAAACATTTTGCTTTGCACACCTTGACTTTCAAACCTAACTGCGTTTCTCAGGCTCTGCCAGAACCAGCCTTCCGCCGCTGGGTTTCTGGGCCACTCCAGCACACTCTGTCCACACAGGCAGCGCCGCAAGTTTAAGATTCTTGACTGCCGAAGAACCGGCTCCAACAATACCAACACCATCACGTCCACACCCTCTTCCAGAAGCTTTTGCTGCGCTAGGAAAGCCGCCATCTTAAAAATCCCACTGTAAACAAATCCCTCTGTCAACACAAATATCGTCTTCCGACTCCGGTGTATGCTCTGGTTCAGGTTGTCCATGATGGGTGTACCAGGAGTCCAATCTCTTTCTGCCAGACAGAGTGGACGAACTCCTCTTCCTCTATCTTCCAACTCAAAACGCAAGTGGTTCAGTACCCAATCTGCCACCATTGGATCCTTGGTGTCATACATAACAAAGGCATCATAGGTGCAGTCAGTCGTCTTCGAGTAATAACTTTTAAGTTTGGCTCTCCAGAAATTATAAATGTAGGATATGTCCCAGTAGAACACATGTATTGCGACAGTTGTAGACATCATGGCAATGATGATAGATGAGGTGAGTACATATAGGATTTGATCAATACCACTGTTGATGCAGGCATTTTTAAAGTCCAGATTGACCATTGGATGTCCCCTTTTGGATTCCGGAAGGTCGCACAAGATGTCCGTTGCTAGACGAGGAAGGACTGTGTCACTTTTCTCTAACCAGAGAATGAAGCCCAGAAGGTCACACGTGCAATGGATAGGGTTTCTCTGCAGGTTCAGTGTGAGTGGGTGGTGATTGTTACCTGTCTGGAAGGATGTTTCACTGATATGTTTTAAGTGGTTGGAAGCAAGGTTAAGGATCATCAAGCTTTTGACATCTTTAAGAAAGCTGTGTTTCAAGGTGACGATCAGATTATGACTCAAGTCTAAGACCCTCAAAGATTTTGTATGTTTTGATAGTTTTCTAGCGACTTTACTCAATTTGTTCTTGCTTAGATCCAGAGTCTCCAACTGAGGTAAATATTTGAGCTGGTCCCACTCAAAATCAGTGAGTGTGTTCCTGCTCATGCCAAGATATTTAAGCGTACATGGAAAATAGCTGAAAATATCGTCCGGTATCTCGGAAAGCTTGTTAAGTGATATATCGAGGTGTGTTAGGTTTGAAAGAGACTTAAAAAGACCTTGGAATCCACGGCCCTTCTTCCACATTATATCTAGTCGATTGGCTTGAAACTGTAGCTCCTTCAGTGAGTCGCTCCGTAGAGTCTTATTGGTCAGTGTATTGATCTCATTCCAACTGAGATTCAGCACTTTGAGGAACTGAAGGTTTTCCAGGAATGTCAGAGTGCTCCTAACACCCGCCACCTCAAAGTAATGATTGTTGTAACTCAAATCCAATACTTCTAATTCTTTCAGTTCATTCAGTGCTGAATCTGAACGCATGTAGACTCGGTTGTGAGACAAGTCAAGGTACTTCAGATTGGGAAAGTGAGCAAACTCTGTACCATTGAAATATGAAGCAATGAAGTTGGAGGAAAGATTGAGGCAAGTGATATTCTCTGCTCCTGTGAAGAAAATTTGATTCATGTGGTAAATGTTGTTCCTACTGAGGTCCAAAACTGGTCCTGTTGCCAGACACTCAGGTTTGGTAAACGGTGGGTAATGGCGAAACTCTTCATTTGTGTGAATGTAGGGGCCTTCACGGCGGTTTCCCTCATCGTCATCAGAAAGAACGCCACTTCTACACTCTCGTCTGCGAATAGAACCTGTAAATGTTAGCCTGTTGTCAATCAGCGAAATCAAAGACAGGTTGTGAAAGTTCCTGAACACTGATAGATTGACATGTTGGAGAAAGTTGACTCCCAAGTTTAGAACGGATAGGTTTCTCAAACCGAAGAGAGGCCGGAGATCTTCCTCACAAAGATTATGGAAATTGTAGCCTTCCATGTGAAGTGCTTGCATTGATTTCAATCTAGCAAAGCCTTTTGAGAGTTTCATTCTTGGGTAAAATGTTTGAGACGGATTGTTGTATGAGAAATCTACAACTTCCACTTGTGGGAGGACATTTAAGAATTTTCCGCTTTCAAATTCACTAATCAATGAGTTGAAGGAAAGATATAAGTACTTTAACATAGGAAGATTCCGGAACCATGACGAGTTGATTGTTTGTAAGGAATTTCCAGACAGTCGTAGGTCTTGCAGTTGGGAAAGTTCACTGAAAGCATCCGGATGAATCTGTAGAGCGTTATTCTTTGTCTGACAGGTAGTGCATGGGAAAGGAGCGGTAAAACAAAACGGACAGTTTCCAGATAAATCAAGCACTCTCAGGTTTGTTAGACTCTTCAGGTCAGACGCATGAACTTGCTCAATCCTGTTTAAGAGAAGTGAGAGTTTTTGGAGGGATCTGGGTAAAGCAGACGGTATTTTCTGTATTCTATTTTTGGACAGTTCTAGCACAGTTAGATGCAAATCCTGAAATGTTTCATTGTGAATTGTCAGTTCTATACTTGCATCGTGATAGCAGTTCTTATCTAATGTCAAAACATTGAGTTTCTTTGTTCCTACAAAGTCTGATGGTCCAATTTTCTTGATACGGTTCGAATTGAGGCTCAGCCGTTGCAGTCCAGGAGGGAGGTCTCTAGGAATTGCTGAAATCATATTATCGTCGAGTAGCAAAGTCTCCAAGTTAGCCAAACTTGAGAAAATCCCATGGTCTTTATCAAGGCATTTTTCAATTTGATTCTTTCTGAGGTTTATCTTTGTAACTTTAGTCAGATTCCAGAAGGCATCCTTTGGGAGGTAATGTATTTCATTGTTCGCAAAGTCTAGTTCAGTTGTATTCCAGATCAGGTTTTTCGGGATTCTTTTCAAAGATCTTTCCGAACAGTCCAAGACGACAGAGCTGTTGTTAAGCTTCACATCACATGGAAGCTTTCTCCAAGCCCAACTGAGGCCTTGAGACGAATGGGCGGCACATATCAAAATGAACACAAATATCATTTTCTTGAGATTGTGGAGAGACTCCTGTGAATGAGAGGACGTATTAATTGAGAGAATCCATTATTCACACAGTAGTTACTTTCTGAAGCACAGTCGTAAAGAGCAGGGAATTACATTGTTAAATGCAAACTAAACGTAGTGGGAAAAAGGGCATAAGACTGACATGACTAACCATGACATGACATATGTCTTGAATATGAAGTAGGGTTTAGGCATGTTTATGACAACTGTCATTAAGTGTCATTCGCTCAATAATGACATTTTGAATGCAAATATGACATTGTTTAAGATGTCTTTGTCATGACATCTTGAAATAAACCATAACATCATAACCTGTCAGTGTCTTTGTCATGACAACTTGACAAAATTAAGTTAAACAGTCATGTGATTGGCTTTGACATTGGCTGTCATGAGGCCATTATAACTGTGTCATCATGAATATTTTTAGTGACCTCAACTTCAGTGGTACTAATTGAATTTGTCATTAAAAAGTTATAATGGCTTCATGACAGGCAATGTCAAAACCAACCACCTGATAGTTTAATGTTAACCAATAAAGCTAGGTGGTTTCTTAAGTTTGATATTTAATCATGTTTATGACAGGTTGTGTTGTCTTAGTAATGTCAAGTTGTCATGACAAAGACACTGACAGGTTATGACGTATTGGTTTATGTCAAGGTGTCATAACAAAGACATCTCAAACAATGTCGTATTTGCATTAAAAATGTCATAACTGAGCGAATGACACTTAATGACATTTGTCACAAACATGCATAGAACGTCCTTCATATTCATAACATATGTCATGATAATGAAGGTCTCGTGTTAGTCTTATGCACACCCCTTCAAGTAAAGTCTTACCAAAAAAATACCAATATCAACTCAAATTGGAGGTGAAACGTACCCTATATCTTATTGTTGGTGTCAAAGGCATTGCATCCAATCAAAGTCTATTGCATTTTAGTGCAGATACTTCTGTCACTTGGTTAAAAAAAAAGCTAGTCAAATTGAGTATATGCCAACCTGGACAGGTGTGCTCTCATCCTCAACGTCTCAAGTTTTATCTGGAAAACAAGAAAGATACTGATACAAATGTTTTTGAAGTATAGAGAGATTATGGAAAGTATTGAAAATAAAATGTGTTGCAAGTGTTTACTTGTTATAGAACCAAAATATTATTGAACACTACACTTTAGTTTGGGCTCTGTAAGATTGTTTAATGGCTTTGAAAAAAGTGTCTTATTCTCACAAGGCTGCATTTATTTGATAAATAGAAAACAGTGAAACAGAAATATTGTGAAATACTATTATAATTTAAAATAACTGTTTTCTATTTTCATATATTTTAAATGTTAATTTACTTCTGTGATGGAAAAGCTGATTTTTTTTAGCAGCCATTACAGTGTTACACTATCCTTCAGGAATCATTCTCTGCTGGTTTGGTGCTCAAAAACATTTCTTATTATTTTCAATGTTTTTTATATCAATTTAAAGCACTTTTTAAAAAACAATCTGATCCCAAAATTTTGATCGGCTGCTTGGTTGTATAACAGATCAGAAAGTGTGCTTACCAGAGCGGTCCGTAGAAAGGAAAGGCACGGTTAAGGGATATCTGTCAGCTTTTTTAACTGACTGTAGTTCCCCCTTTCAATTTTCAGAATGCTTCCTTATTTTTTATCTGAACCAAAGAAATACAGTTCTAATCTGTGTGCCTTAAAGGGATAGTTCACCTAAAAGAGAAAATTAGCATTGTCATTGTTTGAACCCTATTGACATTCATTGTAGACAAAAACAATTAAACATTTTCCAAATATATTATTTTGTGTTCCATAGAAGAACAAATCATAGATTTGGAACAACATGAGGGTGAGCAAATGATTCAGAATTCCCTATTTTTTATATTCACTGCAATTTTTGAATAATTGTCAATGAAGAAAGACAGTTTGCTGTCATGTTCTGGACCTTAAAGGCATACTCCACCATTTTTCTTTTCATTTTAAACTATGTTATTGAGTACGATTGAGTGCACGCACTGAGACCAGAGAGGTATATCAACTCATCATGTTAAGGGAATGACATAGTAAAAGAATTTTAATTGGGCCAAACTTGTGTTTATTATCCTTCAACAATTTGCAGAAAATGACTGCTAATGACAGGCGTATTGTGCAAAGTACCTAAAACCTAAAGAATATTTAACTCTCAACTCAAAGACAACAGTAATCCTTTCTTAACCTTCTAATCCTACTTGATCCGGTACGTCAGATCTACTATCTTCGATTGAAACAGTAACATTGTGAGCATTGCCAGCAGATCTAAACAATAACCTAATCTGCAAACACTCAGCAGTCTGTTTCTTCTGTTTGCACAGCTCTCCAGCTATGGCTAAAATCCCCCCTAATCAGCGCTGCAGACACCGGGAGTATGCAAGACCAGACTGGCACTCATCGCATGCGGAGCGGCGAGTGCATTAGTATGCCGTGGAGAAACACAGTGACTGTGAGTGGACACTCCAGCAATTAGATGCATAGCACTTTGTGTGAACCCGCAGAGGTGCCAGTGCTCATATTCTGCTCAGCACCTGGGGGCAGCTTTCATGCATTGCTTTCCAACCGCTGCTACGTGTTCCACATACAGATCGGACCATTATTAATTTTAAATGTGTTGTATCCATGCCACAGTCTTTGGTATTTCTGATCAGTAGGGATGAGGTATGGAGATGAACAAGGCATGGCGTGTTTTACTTTGTAATTTGTTGCTTTGCTCGTTTCAGCATCATGCATTGCGTTAGTGCTGGATGTCATTTTTTTTTTTTTGTGCAGCGTTGACATAAGTTAGATTAAAGTGTTACCACTTTGTACCTAAGAGGAGCAAACAAACCTCATGAGACGTGCTGCTGCTACTACTTCTTTCAGCATATAAGCCAATCTTTACACAATGAGTTGAATCCCGGTATATACAATCTTGACACTGATTTCTAGGTTGCATCCTGCACTTTTCACCTTTTTCCACCCTTTATGATCCGGTGGGGTATCTGAGCCTGAGGGGGTGTTGAATCCTGCCCGGGGTGTTATGTTTGAGTTGTGTAGGGATGAGCTTCTAGCCCTTGAAGGATAATGAACTGCAGTTCAATAGTATTGGTGAGTTGCACAGGAGAAGAGTATACATTGTGCTTGCACAAAGCTATGTTTTAGTTTTGTGTCCGTGAGTGGGTTTCCAGATAGCAAGCAGGGATATGATGAATCTTGATTGATGACTTGTGGATGTTTTCTTTCCGCTTGTTTTTAAACTGTATATTAATGCATATTTCCAATACAGTCAATATTCAATATCAGTATTCGGTCAATATAGGCAGGTTAATCTCACAAAATGTCAAGATCATATTTTGAAACCAAATTCACAAGAAAATAAATTAGTTATATTTTATAAAATTATATTTTGCTAAAATGCAAAATCCCCCATACAGTATGTGGCATGGATACAACAGCCAATTAAGCACATGTCCCCTTATTTAATTTCATTGATGCAACACAAAAAGTCTAATTACTGCAATTTAAATTATATACAAAATAGACATCAAATAAGCTTTAGTTAGACAGTTTCTGCTCATATGTTCAATATATATAGTATGTTTTGTCAAAAATAAACTAATCAACTGTGATCCAATGCAAGCTAATGCAATGCACATATCAAAATAATGAATCATTAACTTTGAAATTTGTATGATAAAATGTAAATGGCCTACTTTAAAAAGAATACTTTATGTGGAAAAATAATTTTCTTTTCAAGATGTTTCCAACTCTAACTTTGAACCAATTCTACACAATTGCCCATATATATTATACATGATGAGGGCTGGCCTTTCGCATATTGCCTTGGCAAACAAAAAATGTTTTTCATAGTATAACCCAATTCACAGTTTTATGTGAAAGATTAGGCAGGATGATTTTCAGATCATTTTGAAGAAAAAACTCTAGACCACAACATCCATTAGTCAAAAGTATTGTGGATGCATATTTTGTATGTGTTTTGTGGCCTTATTTCAGAAACTTTCATTTTTAGTTTTTTCAATAATGCGTAACCAATATTCTCTCAGAAATACAAACATGTACATACATGTTGCTCACATATTATGGTAGCCCTGTTTCTGCTAAATATAGTGTAATTTCACCTGTGCCATTAATATGTTTATAAGCAACTGAAACAATTACAAATGTCAGGGCATGTCAGAACATCTCAAGGACCCCAAATACACCCTAGACCTCAGAGGGTTAATATTGATTAATCATGATATATATGCACATATTATAACAAAAACTTTTGTTAGATGCGATTAGTCAATTTGACAGCACTAGTGTATGTGTGTGTGTATGTGTGTATATATATATATATATATATATATATATATATACTGTATATATACATGCAATTTATTAATTTGATTTCAATTTCAATATATATATAAAAACAATAGAATAAAACATTGTATACTTGCGTAATGAAAAATGTATGGTCCAAATGTGGGCTTTATTTTGTTAATGTAACATATAATGTCTAATTTTTCCTTTAGATTTGAAAGGAAATGTGACCTGAACATGTTTTCTTGAGTCACCCAGAGATCGCTGAAAATGCAAAAACCGACATAGCAGTCAACTCTTTAAGATCTGTTGTTGAACTTGACATTAATTGTGCAATAGCAACTTCTCTTTTGTTAGGAAAGTTAGGGACTTACATTATTGACTGTAGTACCATAAAAAAACATACGTTTTTTGTTCCTTTGTACTGATTGTATAGCTGAGTTTACCCAACCATCTGTGTTCTCCTGTATCTTTAAACCATCAATGGAAACACTGGTGAATTTCATTGGTCTTTATTAAAGTGCAGTGAGAAGGGAAACCCACGACCGTTTTAAATTCTCATTAATCTCTTTTAAAAGCCCAGGCCATAGGAGAGACTGCTCTTTTGCTACTTTAAAAAGATGCCCTTCATAGCTCAATTAGTCTGTCCTGATTCCCAAAGAAGCATTTATTAATAAGGCAGAGATTAAAGAAACTAATTATAAACCTTTCATTTGTAACTGGGAGATGGACCCTCCAGTTGCCCATATGAACGTGTTAATGTAGACACAAAACTCCACCTGATGACTCATTCATTATCTCTTACTGTCCCTCCCCGAAAAATGCATCACTTCACACATACTGTATCTCTAATCTGGATTAGTTAATTGGATGCTCTTGCACAAATGATTAACAATCTACATTTTACACAAGGAGTAAATACTGGATTATGCAATGCCATATGCACTCTAAACCCCTTGGCACCATGTTTAATTGCATGTATTAATTTGTTTTTAATTAATGAATTTTATTTTCTTCTTTGGGGTGCGGTCAACATGAAATCAAAATGGTCCCTATTTACTAATGTGGCATTGGTGCATATTGTGGCAAATAAAAAAAAAGCCATATTGAGTGTTATAAAATGATAAAATGTGATTTCTTATAAATACAAAATAAGAATACTAAATACAAAAACATAAAGAACCATAAGTTCACAGAGAGAGGTTTTCATTGGTTGGTTCCAGCCTTGTATGAACATGCAAAGTCAAAGCTATTGCTTTTTTTTCTTTGAATCAGCACAAATGTTGGAAATTGTATAAAGTTTTCCAACAAATAATTATTATTCTCCTCGAGTACATCTGGTTAAGAATTGTACATGCTCATATACCATAAAGAAACATTTCATCTTATTAACAAGCAACATAATGTACAAATATTACAAAAAAATACAATTTCATCATTTATCATATAGCATAAAGGCCATTAAACACTGAGTCCAAAATTTTCGTATGCGTTTTTTCGTATTCGTGATTCGGTGGCTCTGAATTTTCAAAACACCATTCAAACACCATTTAAACTGTTTGCTACAGATGCGAAAAACGCATAAAATCAAACATGATTCGATTTTTTTTTTTTTTTTTTTTTATTTATTTTTATGAAGGACGAAAGTTTCGGAGGCAGTGTGCAAACTTGATTGACATAACGTGAGGTCATATTTACTTTTTAACGTGCAGAATTTTCGGACTCGGTGTGCAATGGCCTTAACTGTCAACGTCCAGACAAACAAAAATAATGTTTCCATATTGTATATTTACAGTCACTTTTTTCCATGCACACACATATTATTTCGATTCAGATGCACAGCATGCAGTTTCTCCATAAAATATGTGCTTGTGCATAAAATAATTATGATATAAACAGCAACCGCAATGGTGCAAAGTTCACTGTAACGTTTTGGCAATGGTTTCTAGTTGAACCAGTGGCATACTCTACATTCAGTTGTGCAGAAGTTTGTGAAAGCTAAACACTCTCAAGCTGTTACTTTTGCACTCAACACCACATTATATAGACTCAACTGATTGAAAAAATAACATTTAAAAAGACTAATTTGTTGGAGCTATGACCAAGTGTAGGCACATGTTTTTTGAGGCACTCACGTGGGCTACGCAAGTTCAAATTCGGTTCAAGGTTCAAGGTCCAAAAGACTGTTTCAGTGCAAACCACAAAGTGTTCAAAGGGCTTTAAACGATTCCAGACGATGAATAAGGGTACAAGCGAAACGATTGCTCATTTTAAAAAAAAAATAAAAAAAGTTTGTTTTATAAGCTCAAATGTTCGCCTTGCTGTTATGTTATGTGCGTGACTCTCCTGTTCAAACTCAAACTCAAAATGAATGAATCTTTTTGAGTCGATTCGTTAATTTCGTTCATTGAATGAACCAAAGGACACGAAAAAAGATTCGTTCATTTTGATAAACGAGTTTGAACAGGAGAGTCACGAACGCGCATCACAGAACAGAGCAAGGCGATTTAAGCTTATAAAACTTAAACTTTTGTATTTATTTTTGAAATGACAGATTGTTTCGCAAGATAAGACCCTTATTCATCGTCTGAAGTCGTTTAAAGCCCTTTGAAGCTGCACTGAAACTGTCTTTTGGACCTTGAACCGTTTGGTGCCCATTAAAGTGCATTATATGGAGAAAAATCCTGGAATGTTTTCATCAAAAACCTTAATTTCTTTTCGACTGAAGAAAGAATGACGTGGACTTCTTGGGTGACATGGGGGTGAGTGAATTATCAGCAAAAGGTTCTTTAAAAGTGAACTACTCCTTTAAACAATGATAGAAACGGTATAAATATTTCTTTCTTTTTAAAACAATCTCCTTTTTAAAGTTTTTGCACAGTGTAGCAGTTCTTTGGAGGCTGTTGAATAGAAATGTAAAGCATCTATCTGGGGTTGCTCCTCCTTTTCCTGCTGGGACTCTGAGTGTTCTCCGGTTTGAGCTCTTTGTAGTGAACCTGAAGAGGAGATTTTGCACAAATGAGTCGCGGATCGTGTTCTAAAGAATGAAAATACCTCACTTATCATCAATTCCTTACCATCTGAATGTCTGATGGAACTCTAGACAGGAAGTCCAACAGCTCGTTGTTAGCAATGCTGTAGGGGTCCCGCAGTTTTTTGGTGAATTTATTGATACCTGTGTGGGACATGCATACTGTTCATATCCTAGTAAATCACCTGAATGCAAGAACATGGCTTGTGTAAAAGCCTTCAGAGTAGGGATGCACCGATATGATAATTTTATACCGATAACCGATAATTCTTTACAATTAAAAGCCGATAAACGATATATTGACCGATAAATCTAAATAAAACAAAAGTCTCACCATTAAAATCCATGTCCCAAGCACACAATTATGTTCTCATTCTAATTTTATGTAGCCAATATGAAACATGTTGCACTTGTATTTTCCTTTTTTGAAGCGATTTCAATCATACACTCAAAAAAAAAATGCCAAATTTGGGTCAAATATGGACAAACCCAAATGTTGGGTTAAAAATGTTATTTCGAATTTTAACCCAACTTCAACTTTCTCTTTCAACTGTAATTTTTTTAATTAAAATTTTAACCCAACATTTGGGTTTCTCCATATTTGACCCAAATTTGGGTTGAAACAACCCAGGATGTTTTAGAGTGTATTGCAATTTCAAGTGTCTCAGCTGAAGGAAATAATCCATTATTTATCGGCTTTAATATATCGGGCAAATTATTTTTATTGGCCAGATAACTATAACATTAAAAATGAACATATATCGGCCGGTGCTGATATATTGTGCATCCCTACTTGAAAATGCATCTGATCTAGATCAACCAAACACATGTAGTTTTGGACTTCTACATCTAAAAATGACTATACAGTTATTCTTTTCAACAGACTAAGCAATCATTTGAATTTTAAACCATTGGAAAAGTGTTTAATACAAAAGAGCAATAGGATTTCTCACCCCAGACCAGCACAATGTACCGTAGTGGGATGAAGTATATTAGCGTGGCAACGGCACATAGCACTGTTATGGCTAACCAGCTCAGAAAAGGTACAGACCAGTTAAACGTGCTAAAAAAGAAAGGGACAGCATGAGAATTAATATAAATAATGTATTAATGACATAATAATATCCAAACTTCTCACTTCTTCACTCGTTCCCCAAAGCAGGCCACTTGATCCAGAGCGTTCTGAACTGTTATGATCACATCTTGAACCGCGTAGAATTTGTCCAAGAAGCCCTTTTTTTCTGAGTCCTGTTGTTTGAGTGCACAACACACGGCTAGTTAGAGTTCATTTTGAGTCGCATGTATGACAGTTGTGCTTTGGTCTGCAGGAAATCGTGCAGCAAGGTAATATGAGTTTAGTTGTTTTGAGAAATGAAAGACGTGGGGGTGGGGAAGCTTTTGTTTGCTAGCTGGTGTCTCTTCTCTTTAGACTAAAAGGTTAGTTGGTGTAGCTAAACACAAAAGCAGCGAGTCTCCAATCCCAACCGCAGCTTCATTAATATGGAAAAGAGGGCCTCTGAATCACACACAAGTCCTTGGAACCAAACAGAATCATATTAAACATTAGATCTGAATTAATCTCAATCAAATTCTAATGGAAATCTTAAAAGTTACGGCCAATCAAATTCCTCTCCTGGTGTTGGTTTTTCTAATTGCTCTTAGCGTTTTTGAGTATGCTATAGTGTTGAGAAATGAAATTAAGTTTTATTCTGAGAAAAAAAAAAATTAAATATATTTTAAGTTTTATTCTGAAGACCAAAAACATAAATATATTTGTGTTGGATTTTCTAATTGTTCTTAGCGTTTTTGAGTATGTTACAGTGTTGAGAAATTAAATTTTAAGTTTTATTCTGAGAAAAAAAAAATTAAATATATTTTAAGTTTTATTCTGAGGACCAAAAACATAAAATTTCATTTCTCAACACTATAACATCAAAAACACTAAGAACAATTAGAAAATCCAACACAAATATATTTATGTTTTTGGTCCTCAGAATAAAACTTACAATATATTTAATTTTTTTTTTCTCAGAATAAAACTTAATTTAATTTCTCAACACTATAACATACTCAAAAACACTAAGAACAATTAGAAAATCCAACACAAATATATTTAAGTTTTATTCTGAGAAAAAAATATATATATTGTAAGTTTTATTCTGAGGACCAAAAACATTAATATATTTGTGTTGGATTTTCAAATTGTTCTTAGCGTTTTTGAGTATGTTATAGTGTTGAGAAATAAATTTTTAAGTTTTATTCTGAGAAAAAAAAATTAAATATATTTTAAGTTTTATTCTGAGGACCAAAAACATAAATATATTTTCAATAGCAAGACGCAAAATAGTCAGGCTGCAATTCCATTTTCTAGTAAATGTCCCCAGGCAGAACAATAAATAAGTTACTACTGAATAATACAGATAACTGCTAATGTTAATGTACAGTTAATAGTAAAGTAACACGAGAGGCAGTTCGGTATATGGATTTAATATAATGATCAATAAACAATTCCACTGTTCAAGAGTTTGGGAAGATTTTTTTAAAAGACATTAATAATTTTATTGAAAATTTATTGGGACAATTTATAAAAATTGACAGTAAAGACATTTATAACATTACGAAAAAAAAATTATTTCAAATAAAAAAAGCTGTTTTTAACTTTATATTTTATCAAAGAATCCTGACAACATGTCAGTTTCCGCAGAAATATGAAGCAGCACGACTGATAATAATCAGAAATGTTTCTTGAGCATCAAATCAGCATATCAGAATCATGTGACACTGAATAATAATATTTCACAATATTACTGTATTTTGATCACATAAATGCAGCCTTGGTGAGCAGAAGAGACTTCATTCAACAACAACATGAAAAAACCTTACCGACCCCGAACGTTTTTAAACTAAAGTCCAAAAAGGAAGAGCCCTTCAATATCTCCTGCCCCAACTTCCTGTCAACATGTGATTTTTTTATCACACAATTGTATTGGGTATTTAATGTTTCAATCAAATATTCTCGCTTAAAACAATGCTAGCTTGTGTTTTTCATCATGTTGCCCTTGTACACAAACGCATACGCAATAATGACAGCATTTATTCTGAACCCCAGGCCTCACCTGCGACGGGCTGGTTGTAAAATCAGTGGGACGGGCTGCAAGATGTGTTATTCTTTCTCCGACAACTTACAGAGTCGGAGTTCAACAAATCAATTGTCCCCATAAATTAACAGGAACAATTTCAGAAAGCTTGGAGAGTGATACTAACCCTGCGTATTTTCATGACCAGCCGGCGGTAAGCTAAGTGCAAACATATGTCCAGGCTTAGCCCGGGCCTATGAGGGGTCCTTATGAATGGAAAACAGGTGTCTAGGTCATTTGTGCCAAAATACCCAAGTTAGCTCCCTGGGTCAAAGGTCAGGCCGCTAATGGCTGCCTTGTGGCGCACAAAGGGTTATGGGAACGCGAAGGATGGCTGGACTTAAACATCTGGGATATGTTGAGTATATTTGGCAACGCAAGCCTCAGGTGCAATTAAACTAAAGCACTGACACATATATTAAACTGAGTGTCCGTGCGCCAACCTTTACCCGTCCCATCGAGCTTCAGCTAACCCACAAGACCATAAACGATAGTGCTATTCTAGAGAAACAAGGCTAGATTTCCTTCGGCCAAGAGAGATCCTCAGCAAGGGGAAAAAAGCATATTAAAGTAGTAGTTAACTTTTAAAAAAAGCTTTTGTTGATAATTTACTCACCCCCATGTCATCCAAGATGTCCATGTCTTTCTTTCTTCAGTTGAAAAGAAATTAAGGTTTTTGATAAAAACAATCCAGGATTTTTCTCCATATAATGGACTTCAATGGGAACCAAACGGTTCAAGGTCCAAAAGACACTTTCAGTGCAAACTGTTCAAAGGGCTTTAAACGATTCCAGACGATGAATAAGAGTCTTATCAAGCGAAACGATCACTCATTTAATAAATTAATAACAAAGTTTAAGTTTTATAAGCTCAAATGGTCGCCTTGCTCTGTTCTGTGATGTGCGATCGTCACTCTCCTGTTCGAACTCGTTCATCAAAATGAACAAATCTTTTTTCGAGTCATTTGGTTCATTCAATGAACGAGATGACTCAAAAAAAGATTTTTTCATTTTTAAGCTGCAGTGAAACGCTCATTTGGACCTTGAACCGTTTGGTTCCCATTGAAGTGCATTATATGGAGAAAATCCTGGAATGTTTTCATCAAAAACCTTAATTTCTTTTCGACTGAAGAAAGAATGACATGGACATCTTGCATGACTTGGGGGTGAGTAAATTATCAGCAAAAGTTCTTTTAAAGTGAACTACTCCTTTAATGAGTTAATCAGGAAATTATGAAATGTATGGTTACCTTGTCATCTTTGTCGTATTCTTCATCCACATCCTCAAGAAGGTCCTCCATCGCTTGCTATGAAGCCACAATAAGAAAAATCACAAATGCGATCTCTTTGAAATCTCAGTTGTTTCTGCTAGTAAAGGAAAAATGAGTTTAACTCTTTCTTCGCCATTGAAAGAAATTTCCGGCTTTTCGCGTTTTCACTGTTATACAATTGGGGGCGCTATAACATCTTCTGAATCTGTGGGTACTAGGGGTGGAACGGTACATTTATAATGGTAAATGGACTGCATTTATATAGCGCCTTCATAGACCTAATGGCCACCAAAGCGCTTTACATATTGCCTCACATTCACCCATTCATACGCTCATTCACACACCGACGGCGGTGTCAGCCATGCAAGGCGCCAGCCAGCTCGTCGGGAGCAGCTGGGGTTAGGTGTCTTGCTCATGGACACCTCGACACTTGGCCAGGTGGAACCGAGGATTGAACCACCAACCTTTCGGTTCGTAGACAACCCACATGAACCACTGAGCCACTGCCGCCCCTTATTTATTCGTTTTGAACCTGAACGGTACGGGCGTCACAGTTCGGTGCACAAATTTACACGGAGAATACACGATATAAAAATAAATAAAACACGCATGCAAATTAATTATTGTTATGCGGAACTACTGTTAGATACGCGGTTTCTTTAGGGTCACATAATCTATACCATCGGCTAGCTCTGAACCGTCTTTGCTCTGAACATGCGATCACTTCAAACGTTGGCTTTATATGCGCGTCCTTGATCAAATCTTTTTTTTGAGTCATTTCGTTCGTTGAATGAACCAAATGACTCGAAAAAAGATTAGTTCATTTTGATAAATGAGTCCGAAAAGGAGAGTCACGAACGCGCATCACAGAACAGAGCAAGGCGACCATTTGTGCTTATAAAACTTAAACTTTTTTATTTATTTTTTAAATGGCCGATCGTTTCGCTGGATAAGACCCTTATTCATCGTCTGGTTTCATTTAAAGCCCTTTGAAGCTGCACTGAAACTGTCTTTTGGACCTTGAACCGTTTGGTATTGTTTTATACAGAAATAAATTAGTTATAATTCAGATAAGAATAATGTTACATTGTTAATTAATAATGTTAATTAAAAATATATTGATCTGAAATATAGAAAAATAATTTTAAATTAATTCAAGTACAATTACCAAACATATCGCAAGGTCTTTGTGTTTTTATTCATTTAATTAATAAACTAATTATATAAAACTATTGTCAGTGCACTACAAATAAACTGGTTCTATGCCTTTATTAATAAAACTTATTTAAAAAATACAATGCCTTCTGTATTTTTGTTTTGCTTTTCCCTCCATTGTATCGAAATTGTACCGAACCGTGAAGTCTGAACCGAGGTATGAACCGAACCGCGTCCGTGACTTCTGTGTACCGTTCCACCCCTAGTGAGTGCTGACTGAAACGATAGATGTCAGCAGCAATATCATATGCAAACAGATTCATATGTAAAATAATGTGGCTTTTTTTATGAAACGTACCCACATTCAAGTGTTGATAAAAAAAGAATGCATGAAGCTAGGATAAAACGGGGGTGTGTTTTAAGCAGTCTCTCTATTGCATGTTCATATATTCATACAACAAAATATTCTGTGGGCCATGAAACCTTTGTGAAAAATGATCAAAAATGCTGGTGACTGGTGAGAAAAGAGTTCAAATGGAGAGCGAATATATTTTGGATTTTCAGACGAGATCTCAAACTGCGCTCCGATTTGCCAAGATACCAAAAGTTTGCAAAAGTCGATATAAATTTGAATCACAATTCATAAAAGTGAGATCCTGATGTTAACTCAAACATCTCTCGTCAAATTCTTTCAAGGCATGCATTTACACTATTTGATAAGGATAAAAAACACGAAAATAATAGCATTTAAAATAGTTTTTCATCTTAATTTTATCAGTTACTGTAGCAAAATAGTCTTTTAAAATGACTTTTCCAGGCCTGTAAATCACAATTTTACCATCTCATACTCAGTGTCAACAACCGTCTCATTTGTATTTGTCCATAAGCAATTTTAACTTCGACTTCTGATACGAAGTTGATATCTAAATGAAACATAAATGAAGTCTTCCTTATGTCTCCAGAGCAATGAAAGATCAACCTCTGAGCAATAACACTTCCCGCTGGCGAGTTTAGATTGTCATTTAAACACTCACGTTGCATCACATGCAGGCTGATAGCATTTTAATGGCAACTGTTCTGCCATTTATTAGCCGTTAGCCCACATACGAAAACACATGAGCATACGACTCACATTTGTGACAGACTGTATATTTCTGTCAATCTCCTTCTGAAAGTGAAAACGATTCTCTCTTGTGTGTCTGTCAGCTGTCCGTCAGCTGAAATCCAGCTCACAAAATTTTTTTTTTTTTTTTTTCATTTTTATTCATGCTGGCCAATATGATAATTCCATATTTTAATTTGAAAAGAAGTGGAAAATTATTATTTTATTGTTTTGAGATTCATCTGATGCATATCGCTATTGACTCTTTGACCGGATACTCCTGAATAAAAATGTAATTAAAATTTTGATGGCTTAATTGGGAAGTGAACACCCTCTCGAGAAATGGCGCTCATTGAAAGTCATCAGCACTCATTCCACGCCATCTGAACAACTAAAATTGAATCAATTTTCAGGGAGTTTTGCCCACACCCTTAGTGTGATTGGCAACATTTCACGATGGCATGAAATTAGTTTGACACAATTTAATTGGAAAATGAGATAAGTAAATACACTAGGTAAGTGGACTGGCACGTTTAAAAGCTCGTATATTTGTGCTACTTTTAATTACCTGAAGTAATTGGAATAAAAACATTCAATTCTGGCTGTGCACACATCTTAACAAAATAAACATAGCTGTTTATTGACCTGGAATAGTCGATGGCTGGTTCAAATAATCAAAGCTAGTTTGGGTTCGGGGAGACGTTTCAATTTCCTGTGGCGGCCTACAACGACCATGTGCTTAAAATGAGCTCGAGATAAATGTCACAAATTTAGCAATCATTAGACTCATAAAAGCACTCACCACACTTCCCTCGCGCGGCTCCGTCCCGGAGGTCAGCCGGAAGTAATTCCAGGTCAGCAACAGAAGCAAGGACAACGGGACCATGTAGATCTCGAAATTCCAAACCACCACCACAAAGATCTAAACAATCAGGACAATGCCACGTTTAAAGGGTTAGTTCACCCAAAAATGAAAATTAAGTCATTAATTACTCACCCCCATGCTGTACCAACCCCGTAAGACCTTCGTTCGTCTTCGGAACACAAATGAAGATATTTTTGATTAAATTTGAGAGCTGTATAACTACCACATTGGCTCCTAAGGGACTGCCTCTTGACGGCCCAGAAAGTCAATGAAGAAAATGTTTAAATATCCCAAGTGACTACCGTGGCTCAACTATATGTTTATCAAGCGACGCGAATACTTTTTGTGCGAAAAAACAAACAAAAATAACGAGTTTATTCGACTATTTCTTTTCTTCCTTGTAGGCCAGAACGAGACTTCCTTAGATTTCCACGACGCATGCGCGAGATTTGCGATCTGCTCACACCAGCTTACACTACTTCAGATCGCAATTCTCGCGCATGCGTCGTGGAAATCTAAGGAAGTCTCATTTGTGTTCTGAAGATGAACGAAGGTCTTACGGGGTTGGTACAGCATGGGGGTGAGTAATTAATGACTTAATTTTCATTTTTGGGTGAACTAACCCTTTAAGACTATTACTTTATGGACTAACAGAAGTTTCGCAATTCCATTTTCCACCAAGTAAATGTCCAAATGATAACTTCATAACAATATATAACTTACTACATTAAAGATAAAATCTAATTTTTTATAACATTAATACACTTAAATTTCAGTTAATAAAGCAATAAACCATGAGACAGTTCAATATAGGTATTACACATAATACATACTCAATATCCAATAAATAATAACATTATTATTATTTATTATACAATATATTAATATAGTTATATAGTAATACAGTTGTCATCCTTAATGTGTAAGTTTATGATTGCCAAGCTATGTGACAACCTGGTGATATATAATTTTTTTTTTTTTTTAAAGAATATTATACTTTTATTCATGCATTGAATTGATCAAAAGTGATTTTAATTTTTCACAAAATATTTCTATATATAAAAAAAGCTGTTTTGAACTTTCTATTCTTTAAAGAAATAATGAGTAACGCCATGACAGGAAATGCATTACATTTTACAATACTTTAAAATAGAAAATTGGGTTTTTAAATTATAATAATATTTCACAATTTTATACATATATACACACACTGTATATAGTACTGAAAAATATGTATTGTATAACTAGTTCACCCCAAAAATTAAAATTAATTTACTCACCCACATGATGTTTCAAACCTGTATGAGTTTCTTTCTTCTGCTGAACACAAAAGTTATTTTTTGTTTTAAATATTTTGTTATTAAATATTTGGTCCCACTTTATATTAAGTGGCTTTAGGTGTACAATGTACTTATTGTGTTTAGGGACAGGTGTGTGTCCTATGGGTCGGTTTAAGGCTGGTTTAAAGGGCAACAGTGTAATTACAAATTACATAATTACATAAATTAATTACAGCTGTAATTACATGCAGGTATTTTCAAAATATAAGTACAATGTAAAAACATGTATGTACACAATAAGTCCATTGTATCAAATTATTAATTTCAATGTAAGTAAAGTGGGACCGTCAATGGGGTCCATCAACTATTTGGTTACCAACATTCTTCAAAATATCTATAAGAAAGAAACTCATACAGGTTAAAAACAACTTGAGGATGAGTCAATGATAACAGAATTAACATTTTTGGGAGAACCATATAAACTGTAAACCAGATCTTTTTAAAGTGGAAGGTCAAATCTCGGTCAGCTAATTTTCAAGAACATGAAAATAGCAATGTGAATCTATTGTTGGAGAGACTGAGAGTGTACAGCGCCTCCTCCAGGTACAGGAGGGAGTGTGTGAATGCGAGGGAACCGTGTGAAGGGCTCTCGAGGTGTTCAGAGACGGGCAGGCGGGGGTGCGGGGTGAGGTCGGGCACGAGGTCACAGCGGGACGTCGTCTAAGAGATCACATCTACTCGATTTAGCTCAAGGGTTCTTCAGTGCTGAGCTATGAGCACACTTCACACACCACAGCTCTTCAACACACGAGTCACCAAACAACCACACTATCTATCTATCTATCTATCTATCTATCTATCTATCTATCTATCTATCTATCTATCTATCTATCTATCTATCTATCTATCTATCTATCTATCTATCTATCTATCTACAGGTATCTATCTATTTATCTATCTATCTAAATTGAGTCTGAGTTTCTTTGAGTGGAATGTATCGTATCAATATTGTGTAAGTGGGTGTAACAGTAGTGTATGGTGTAAGTCTTTGGTTGGCTGTTTGTTTGTGTGTATTTAGAAGTAGAGTTTTGCCACCTACCAAGAAAGCACATAAACTCCTGCGGGGCGACTCCCATTGAAAACAGCTGTTGATGTAGGAGCCCACATTAATGAGGAAGAGGATGCAGCGCTTCACTCGGTTAAAATTCTGCTGCAGCAGCTGACATGAGGAAATATGAGAAAGAAATTCATCCAAAACACGTTCTGTTAGATATAAACCACAAAACACTCTTTTCTAACAATAATGATCTATTTATACACATACACGTATATATATATATATGCAGTATTCTGTACATTTAATATTAATAGAATTGTATGACATTGAAACAAAAAAATATATATATATTTATGTTCCTTCAGGATATAATCATAAAATATATTTTATAAGTAAATTTTCACAATAGTTTTAGGCTTTGAGGATACTCCTGAATGCCATGGAAATATTTTATATAATTTACCTGTATTTTCAGAATCATAATAATTCTATTGTATTTTGTATTCCAACAAAACATTAAAACAATACACACTACCCCACAAAAGTTTGTGGTTGGCAAGTCTCTTATGCTGCATTTATTTGATCAAAAAATTACAGTAAAACTCTAATATTGTGAGACATTATTACAATTTTTACAATTCTGTTTTCTATTTGAATATATTTTCAAAATTAATTTATTCATGTGATCAAAGCTGAATTTTCAGCATCATTACTCCAGTCTTCAGTGTCACATGATCCTTCAGAAATCATTCTAATGATGCGGATTTGCTGCTCAAGAAACATTTATTATTATTATGAATGTTGAAAACAGATGTGCAGCTTAATATACGTGTATATATATATATGACTTTTTTATATTATACAACTTTTTACAGAATAAACATTAAAAATGAGTTTTTAGTTACTTTATTAATAAGTATTTAAGATATTAAAGATAAAAGATTATTAAAGATTATTATCTCTTCCATCAATGGCCGAACTAAAGAAAATCAAACGACTGTTCTGGGAAGCATGATTAACACAAACCACTCCACAAAACTTGAGCATATAAAAAAAAAAAAAAAAAACGAGGCAAATGTAATCATCTCCATAAGTGATGGTGTGACTGACAGCTGGGGTTAGATATACGGGTTGAATCCACGGTTGAACTCTTCACTGAGACGGGCATAAAGGACTGAAGAATCGGTCTGTTCTGCTCAATGCGCAGCTTTGTGACAGCGTCTGATTCAGCCCAGCCCCTCCAATTCAGCGCTTTTGTCACGCAGGCACATTGAGAGAGAGGACAATGAGCAGGCCCAGCCGTAGAGCCGCAGCCGGGCCCTCTGGGGTGGCCCCTCTCCTCTCATGAGGGCCGGCTTGACATTTCTATTCAACACCTAGAGCGGCAGGGCAAGGGGGAAAACGCTGCGATTCAGCACTTGCGCCCCCTGTCCCAAACACGTCGGCCTATTGTGTGGCGGGCATGGGACCGCCGGCCCTCGTTGGGGTGATTTTGATTTGATTGCCGCCGTCGGATTAAAGGGACAGTTCACCTAAAAAATATTGTTTTATTATTTACTCGTCTCGCTCCTAATGTGGTTTCATACCCATATGCTCTTATTTTATCTATAGGAGACAAATGTAGAGATTTCTAACACACACACACACACATCCTATAGACGTGATGGTTTTTACACTGTACAAACTGTATCTTCTATCCGCTTACACTAACCCTACAGCTAAACCTACCCGTCACACAAAAATTTCGGCTTTAATTACTTTATTTTTATACCAGTTTTACAAAGGACGCCCTAAAGGGAGGTTTTTGGAGATTTTGTCAGGTTTTGGTTATTTCTGGGTACAAATATGTCCTCAAAATATAGTTATGTAGACTCACACACGAACAAAGTTATCACTAAAGCACCATAAAAGTCTTCCAAAGCAGGTTTGTTATAGTTAACTAAAATAAAATATAAAACATTTGTATTACTTTATATAAAGTAAATTATAATTGAAGGTAAATGAAAAATAATTTCAGCTAGTTGCTAAGGAAACATTTCTAATTTTCATAGTTTTACTTGACGTACTAAAAAAACTAAAACTGAAATAAAAAATGTATGAAAACTATAATAAATAATAAAATGATAAATATAAAAAATGATCAAATTATTAAACCTTTAACTCCTTTAATGAAAATAGTATGTACTAGGGCTGTCAAACGATTAATCGCATCCAAAATAAAAGTTTGTGTTTAGTATATGTGGGTGCACTGTGTATAATTATTTTATATATATAAATACACACACAAGCATGTATATATTTAAGAAATATTTTCATGTATATAGATTTATATATTATTTATATTATATATAAATATAAATATTTTATACACAAATAATATTTTTTCTTAAATATACATGCATGTGTGTGTATTTCTAAATACAAAATAATTACACACAGTGCACCCACATATATTTATGTAAAAACAAACTTTTATTTTGGATGCGATTAATCAGCCCTAATATATATATATATAGTAATTTAATAATGTAAATTAATACTAGCCCACATTCTTATACATGCCATTTTGGTGTCGCCATTTTTTAATACATCACAAGAGTCATCTGAACTGCTTTTTGTGGTTTCTTGTCCGTTTTGGAGCACTTTAAAGTGTCTTTGTATTGAAAAAGCCATTTAGTGATTCATCCAAAATGGTCCTTTTGTCTTTTACCGAATTAAACTCCACGATGTGGGTTTGAAACGACACCAAGGGGACTAAATAATGACAGAGGTGCCATTATTTTGTGTGAGCTATTCCTTTTGAAGAATAGTTATATTGTTGTCATATTACCTGTTTAGAGACTTTGGCCTCTTCTTCGATGTACTTCTGTTCTGGTGGAACGAACGTCCGCAAACTGGCTTTCACCTTGAAGCGAAACGAAGCACGTCTGATTTGTTTTAATTAGTGCCGGAGTTCTCTATGCATCAATAACGATTGCATATTCGACAGTGTGAAAGAAAGAAAAAAACACACAGCAGAAACAAAAGACACAACATCCAGCGCACACTTACGGCGTTGAAGATGACGTCTGCTTCGAGGAAGATGACCCCCTTTGTTGGCCCTGTCAGCTCCTTGTTTTTTAAGACGTAGGCCTTCTGTTCGCTGTTGCGGATCTGTGTGAAGAAGACGTGACAGCCTGCTGTCTGGCAGAGCCCCAGCGGACCCCCCTCCTCGACTGACCCCTGATCTCCCAGCGGCAGCATCAAACAGCCAGCCGCACATCCCCCCCCCTCCCCTCCCTCCTCCTTCCAGCACTTCCAACTCTGACAAGTACCTGCTCATTACCAGCATCCCTCTGTCATCGAGACATTACCCAGGCACCGGGAGACACAGCTGTGTGTGCTTTTAAAGACGCGCCACCATCAATCTCGAGGCTGTTTGTTTCAAACGCGACTTTAAAAACACACGTGGATCTACAGTAAGAAGCTTGAATGGGGCGAACTTACGTTTAATAACGGGATGGCCACTTTACCCAGGAAATCTGCACTGCGATCTCTGTCCTCGTCGTACACCGTGATCTCCAGCACCGAGTGAATGTCTTTTACATTGCTGCGGGGTTAAAGAGAGAGAGTTTTTTTTTAAATCAAACACCAAACAAAATTACATAGAAATATTTCTATTTAAAGGGTTAGTTCACCAAAAAAATTTAAATTCTGTCATTAAAGGAGTAGTTCACTTTTGCTGATAATTTACTCACCCCCATGTCATCCAAGATGTCCAAAAGAAATTAAGGTTTTTAATGAAAACATTCCAGGATTTTTCTCCATATAATGGACTTCAATGGGAACCAAATGGTTCAAGGTCCAAATGACAGTTTCAGTGCAGCTTCAAAGGGCTTTAAACGATTCCAGACGATGAATAAGGGTCTTATCAAGCGAAACGATCGTTTTTTTAAAACAATAAATAACAAAGTTTAAGTTTTATAAGCTCTGTTCTGTGATGCGCGTTCGTGACTCTCCTGTTCGAACTCGTTTATCAAAATGAACAAATCTTTTCCCAAGTCAACTCGTTCATTTTGTTCGTTGAATGAACCAAATGACCCCAAAAAAGATTTGTTCATTTTGAATTTTGAAGTTTGAACAGTGAGTTTTTTTTTTCACAGAATCACAGAACAGAGCAAGGTGACATATTTGAGCTTATAAATCTTAAACTTTGTTATTATTTTTTTTAAATGAGCGATCGATTCCTTTGATGAGACCCTTATTCATCGTCTAGAATCGCTGAAAGCCCTTTGATCAGTTTGCAGTTTGCACTGAAACTGTCTTTTGGACCTTTGAAGCGTTTGGTTCCCATTGAAGTCCATTATATGGAGAAAATCCTGGAATGTTTTCATCAAAAATCTTAATTTCTTTTCGACTGAAGAAAGAAAGACATGGACATCTTGGATGACATGGGGGTGAGTAAATTTTCAGCAAATTTTTTTTAAAAGTAAACTACTCCTTTAATTACTCAACCTTTCGATCTTTTTGATGGAATCTTTGTGCTTTGTTCCTCCATTGACGGCTACGCATCTACCACTTTGACGCTTCAAAAAGTTCATAAAGACATCGTAAAACTAGTCCATATGAATTGAGTGGTTTAGTCAATTTTCTGAAGATACTCGATCGCTTTATATGATGAACAGATTGAATTTCGTGCTGTGTAATGAGAATGAACAACATTGGTTCTCGCACGTCAAGCGAACAAGCTTGAGCTTCTGTTTATATATGATATAAACTCAATCTCTAAATTCAATCTGTTCGTCATATAAAGCGATCGAGTCTCTTCAGAAAATTTGGACTAAACCACTCAATTCATATGAATTAGTTTAACGTTTAACTTTTTGAAGCGTCAAAGTAGTACACACTTTACAATAAGGTTCTTTAGTTAACATTAGTTAACTACATTAGTTATCATGAACTAATTATACAGCATTTATTAATCTTTATTCATGTTAATTTTAACATTTATTAATATTTTATTAAAATCTTCTTAACATTAGTTAATGCACTGTGAAATAACATGAACAAACAATGAGTAGCTTTATTTTTATTAACTAATATGAACAAATACAGCAACAAATGTGTGGCTCATTCATGTTAGTTAACACCTTAACTAATGTTTTCTAATGAAACCTTATTGTAAAGTGTTACTGAAATCTCTCAGATTTCATCAAAAAGATTTTCATTTGCGTACTGAAGACGAACGAAAGTCTTACAGTTTTAGAATGACATGAGGGAGAGTAATTAATGACTGAGTTTTCATTTTTTGCTATCCCTTTAACACATTCCTGCATGAACCTAGATAAAATGTTTATTATTAAAGCAGTTTGTTTTGATCATTTTGTGAAAATTATTAAAAATGCTGGCTGGAAACTTAAAAAAAACACTGGCGGGGAACGAGTTAGACTGTAATATTGCTTTAAATTTATAGTCAACATGAAACACATACAACGCATTCAAATGGCATAATTTGACGTATTTCTGAGGGAAAGTGTTTGTAATTATTCAGGGCGGTACTTGACTTAAGGACTTGATTGGATGATGAATAATATCTTGCATCATGAGGCTGTTTAAAAAAAATAACTTTATTAAGTGATCGACTTTCAACTGGTTTTTAAAAGGCGGTCAATAAAATAGTCAATAATAAAATGTAGACTTTAATTAAATAATCAATCTTTTCTCAGAATACAGACTTTTTTTTGTTACAGCATTGTATTGATTCCTCCATTCCAGTTCATTGTTACAGCATTTTTATTTATGTGTAATATAATTTCCTAAAGTTTGATTGATAGATGAACTAGAAGAATTAATTTACGACACATACAAAAGTGACTCAATCCGTGCAACAAGGATTATGACATGACATAATGTTGTGTGTATCATGTTGAGAGGTAATTGGTAATTGAATCATTAAAACCAAGTCATACCAATGAGCCAAAATATCAACAATCACGAATCATGATGATGTCTATTGCACCATTCATATTTTCAGCAGAAAAGGTAAACATTTGCTAACACTTTATTTCTATGGTCCACTTTAGAGTATCTTTGCAGCTACATGTAAACTTCTACTAAGTAGTAATTCAACTAACTAACCCTAACCTAATAGTCTACTAATGCCCTAATGAGGGTTAGTTGGCATGTAGTTGCGAAGTTACTTATAGATAGAAGTGGACCCATATAGAATAAAGTGTAACCATAAATATTTTTAATACCTGTGGTTGTTTAAGCTTTTTGAAAGTCACTGCATTTTCATAAAAGACAATGTAGCCATTCCCCCCCTCATAATGACGTAAATGGGATACATTTTCATGTATTATTATGTGCACGTATTATATTACATTTTCATGTAATATATTCCACAATCAAGCCAAATTGCAGCTGATTGTTGCTTTTGTAAATGCGATCGACTGCATGTTTGAGTCCAGGTGTCAGAACAACTTCATCAGCTGTGAATATTTTAATTCGTCCTCTGTCGGAAGCGGATGCATAATGAACTCACAAGGTGAAGACTTTATTCCACTCGGGGTTCAGCGTCTTGTAGACCGTGTGTGTCTGCAGACGGTCATTACACAACTCTGCAATGCAGAACGGGTCGCTCTTTCCTGAAACACAATGTTGCATTCGAAAGGTTTTAGTTTCAAATTCCCAACTGAGATATGAATATGCATTATATGATGCATTATAAATATTGAACTCTGTAGGTATAATACATTTCTAGTATTTTTACTCTATTATAATTATGCATTTATTTAAAATAGCTTGAAATTGGTAGAGCCTCAATGCTATAATTAATAAACAGTACTAGCATTCAAAAGCTTTGGGTACTTAAAGTCAAAAGTGATATTTGTTTTATTTGAAATAGATTACTATTACTATCTAAGAATCCTGAAGAAAAAACGGATTGTTTTCAACATTGATAGTCATAATATTAGAATGATTTCTGAAGGATCATGTGACACTGAAGACTGGAGTAATGATGCTGAAAATTCAGCTTTGATCACAGGAATAAATTAATTTTTTTGATATATTACAATAGAAAACAGTAATCTGAAGAAATGTGGCACTGAAAACAGACAGTGTGTGTGCGCAAAAGCTTCTTAAAAGCCTTTGTCCACCATGGTGTGGTATTAGAAGAACCGTGAAATCAGAACCCATGAGGTGTGGGCCGTTCCTGAGAGAACAGCAAACTTGAAGAACTAGATAAACTAAAAATGAAACCTCCTTAAGAGAGAGACCGAGGTGTTGACCTCACTAAAACATTAAGAAAAATGCTTGGGAAAGAGTCTTATGGACCATCCAGTTTACAGTAGGAATGTTGGTTATTGAATCAAACGAATACAGGAAGTGACATGTGTTTTTACCTGTGACATCAGCAGCCATCAGCCCCTCGGCCCGCAGGATCTTTACCTGCACGATTCCTACATCCTTCAGCTTAAAGAAAGACCTCAGAGAACACTGAAAAAAGAACAAAAACGACATTCACAGCGAGCAGTAATACATCCATATGTTTCTGACAGCTCTATTTTGGCCCTAACTTTCTCTAATCCCCTGCCAGAGTCCGCGAGCAGTTTTGTGTCCGCGTCAAAGCCGCTCGGCCGTGGACAAAACCATCGAGCCGCCACGCCAGATTATCTGGTGGCTCTCACGAATACATCTTCATTATGCAGCTGTTATGAAAGAAGGTCAGTCTGCATTGGTGGCGAGTTTCTGTAAGCCGTTCACTGACCGGCCCTCCAGGGGACAGTGGCAGGACAAAGACAAACCGTGAATAGAGAGGACAGACAACTCTGAGAGGAGCGAGATGTCTCTCTCTCTGCCTTTGTTTCATCCGAGGTACTCCACCGTGGTCCAGTTGTGAAGGAGACGCAGTTTATCCAGTAGTGCACTGGAGTGTGGTCACATTACGCCCCCTTTTGGTCACAGAAGTGTACTACAGGGTGGAGCATTACCAGTTCATGAGGAAAACTTAAAGGGATAGTTCACTTTGAAATTAATTTTTGATATGTTTTAGCTTACCTCAAGGGCATCCAAGATGTAGGGGTCTTTGTTTCCATAATATTTTCAATTTTGATATTTTTAAGTCAAACCGTTCTTGTCTTGCGAAGAGCAGAGAAGTCCAAATTAAACATGATTTAATGTAAGAACGAAATGAGCGGTTTTTGTGAAAAAATGAACAGTATTTATATCATTTTTACCTCTTGTAATCACAGTCACGTTTAAGTGATCTGAGGGTGTGGGCGCTTCTATCTGCGCAAGCGCAACGGAAAGCCCCGGAAGTGATCTCTCGCGCGTGTACGTCACTCATTGTTTACGCAGAGATATCGGAAAATTTTACCTTTCACTGTGAAGATCTAAACATATTTAGATATACAGGAAATCACAATGAAAGACGATTTCGATATATCTAAATATGTTTAGATCTTCACGGTGTAAGGTAAAACTTTCGGAATCTCTGTGTAAACAATGAGTTACGTACACGCGCGAGAGATCACTTCCGGCGCATGCGCAGACCGAAGCCCCGTGCCTTCAAATCAGTTGGACATGGCTGTTAACAAGAGGTTAAACGATATAAATACTGTTCGTTTTCTCACACAAACCGATCGTTTCGTGTTTTAGGCCATTAATGTGTACTTACATTTACGATCATGTTTAATTTGGACTTCTCTGTGCATGCTCTTTGAGGTGGTGACCATAGACCTGCATTATATGACTGACAGACAAGAACGGTTTGACCTAAAAATGTCAAATTTGAAAATACTGTGGAAACAAAGACACCTACATCTTGGATGCCCTTGAGGTAAGATAAAACATATCAAAAATTAATTTAAAAGTGAACTATCCCTTTAAGCCCCTTTCACACAGCGCGTTCATCCCGGGAAATTGCCAGAACGCCTTCAGTGTGAACGCAAACACGACGCGGGATTGATACCGGCATCGATGCCGGGTTGGGGACCTAGTAACATTGCCGGAATCAGTCCCGGAACGCGCGCTGTGTGAACCAAAGCCAGGACCAATGGGTGTGTCATAGTGATGACGCTTGTGCCATCGCGCAACTCTGTTGCTCTTAGACAAAAGTTTGTGTTCGTCATTAACAAAGAAAGGGCGAACAAATGTCTGCAAACTTGAACGAAGCAGAGACCAGGGGCCTTATGTATGAACACTGCGAACGTACAAACACACGCCGTACGCCAGTTTTCACGTTCACGGCCAGATGTTCCAACAGTGAAATTAACGTAAGAATGTGCGTTCCTCCAAATAAACTTCATGTCTGGCGTACGTACATTTGCCTTGATTTTTGTGCGTTGGCGACTCATAGAGGCAATAAAGTGAAGTGGCAAACATTACACTACGAATTGTTCTGTCGCACCACCAGCTGTCAGATATCGCTTAATAATATGTTAAATAATGTATCAATTACAAATTATGTCACACGAGTCTTATTAAAATATTCTATTATGCAATTAAGTAAGAACATAAAGCATGTGCAAACCCGTCTAGCAATGGCAGCGTTGGCTTAACTAAAAAATAAAAAACTTCATTAATTCGCTCAGTAAAGGTAAAAAAGAAAGTAATATTTTTATTCAGCAAGGACACATTGAATTTGTTTAAAAGTGCCAGGAAATGCATTTATAATGTTACAAAAGATTATAAGATTTTTATATGTGTTTGATTTTAAGTTTTTATTCATTAAAGAATCCTGAAAATGCTATATCACGGTTTCCATGAATATATGAAGCAGAAGCACAGCTGTTTCCAACATTGATAATAATCATTAACGTTTCTTGATCATCAAATCATCACATTAGAGTGATTTCTAAAGGATCATGTGACACTGAAGACGAAAAATTCAGCTTTGATCACAGGAATAAATTACACTTTCACATATATTCACATTTTCAGTGAAATTTCGTTTCTTGCTGGCTTTTTAATCTGTCCTTGCAGGTTTCTTTTGCCAAATTGGACTAATTACCATATTTAAATTAATTTAATTGAGGGAGGAGACTGGGTGGGGCGTTGTGCTCGTGCATGTGTGCTCAATTTTTTACGTTAATTGGGATGTACAAAGAGAATATGCGCGGGATCCTTTGTTCGCAGACATTCATACATCAGGTTTTTTTTGTGCGTACGCACTAGGGCTGGGCGATATGGCCAAAAAATCATATCTCGATATTTTTTGGTCAAATGGCGATATACGATATATATCTCGGTACTTTCTACGTTTTCTATTTAGATAAAGAAAATCTTTATATTTAAAAAAATATATATATATATATATATATATATTCACATTCGGCCCAATGATATCCTACAAACAATGTTGATATTGAAGTATATGGAAACAAAAATAATATAGGCTATGCAATATATTATGTGCAAAAAGCTTTTGTTTTTATATTGACTAAAAGCTAAACTAAAAATGAAAATAAAAACAAAAACAACGCACAAACTAATTATATTAGCCTGCATTTGATTACCCCATTATAATCACTTTCACTTTCATTAAAAATATATACTTGTAGGTTTAAAATTCCACATATGGCACATTTATTTTCTCCAACAACAAATATTTTAGCAATATGTTTATTTTAGTCAGAATTATTGCGTACTACGTAGTACTATTCACGCGCATGCGCGCGCCGGCGCTCGTTCAAGGAAGCATGAATTTTAGCGGAGATTCACTTGCAAAAGCTCGTCCTCTTCTGACATGGACATATTTGTTGTGAAATGGACATATTTGCTTTACTTTCTAACATTTACAGTTGGAGAATATACCTGTGAAATGTAAGTTGAGCACTGAGGAAAGCACCACATCTCAAACGCATTAAACAGCGCAAGTATATCTGTCAGTCAGCAACAGTGTCTGTCAGAGCATTTGACAGGGCGGCAAGCTGCCTTAAACTTGTTAACTATATCAAAGTGATTTTGACGCAATTAATATAAGCTTGTGTGTCATGTTTAGGACAAATTGTACTACGTAGCCTAGCTACTTTCACTGCAGCAGCTCACACTGCAAACTCCGGTATTTTTCAGATGTGCTCGAGTCATATCAAACTACTGTATCGATATAAACGGTATTGCCTCATTCCATATCGTTTCAAAAAATATAACGATACATCGTACATACTCGATATATCGCCCAGCCCTAGTACGCACATTTACAGCTTTTTCCGTACGCAATGTTTTAGTATGAATTCAACGCAAGTCTTTGTACATGAGGCCCCAGGAGCTCCTCACTATCCGCGCTGAAGCTGAGATCGTTCACCAGCTTTGTGGAACGGTATGCGCATGTACATGTTTTCGACGCGTACGTTACACTTCTCATCCTGACATCATGTGTCTTTCTGGGATCTTTACGGCCGGGTTGTGTGTGAACGCACTCACAGATCCCGGCAAATCACTGGCAGTGTGAATGAACCCGAAATCAAACAATCCTGGGTCACGTTATCCGTGTATTTTCCGGAATCTCTGTGTGAAAGGACTTTAGTCTCTCTCAGAGGAAACCGTTCTCAGCAACACTGTCAGTCAGAGACTGTCAGAAATGTAGACATCACACTTACAAATCTCTTCAGGACCTGCTGGCGTTCGTGTGGGTCGTCTAGTAGGTTGACGGACAGGTCAGAGATTGAGATGGCGACTGTGGCGGTGAGGGTCACCAGCAGCACCAGCGTCCCTTTATCCTCCTCCAGGTCAAGTTCCAGCTTATGCGTCTTCTCTCGGCTCAACTTTGACAGGTCCAGCTGACATCTAAAATGATTAAACACCATCCTCAACACATTTACTTCGTACTGGTCAAATGTTAGAGACTGCTGGCAACGGGATAATCATGACAACATGAAGAAAAGTAAATATGAGCGTTTGAAATCGAACTCACTGGCCGATGAAGTCATCTCTCATTCCAATGTCTTTGTCCCAAACTGAGATGTCCAGAACACCTCCCTCCTCGTCAAACAGATTCAAGTCAAACTGCTCCATCCACTGAGGGTTCAGGGTCTTGGGAATTGTCTGTTTGCACAGAAGATAAAAATAAGTTACTGAAAAATGAAATTCTGATAGTGATACGTATAGTGAAGTGTTCTTCATGTGACATTCAGGTTGTCATGATGATGGGCAGATGTGGTCAAAGTCTATCTTTGTGAAACCGGCCCCAGGGACACTTAAAGAGAGAGCCCTCAGTGTCATGTTTTATTAAACTTGCCGTGTTGAAATGCTGCAGTCGTTCATACCTTACTCTTGTACTTCTGAGAGCCTAGTTTGAACTTGACGTAAGGGTCACTGAAGCCGTTCTGGTCCATAGGGATGAGGTTGCGACCCTCTATTAGTCTGATGCTCACAATGCCCTTCCACAGCTGAGACTTTCCGTGCAGGTCCGACAGTCGGAGATACTGCTGCTGCAGCTGCTGTTGCTGCGGTTCACACACATATCACAGGGCATTCAAGGGTTAATTCAGCCAAAAATGACAATTCTGTCATCATCTACTTGACGATGACCTTATGTTGCTCAAAACATGATTTTTCTTTTCTATTGGATACTAAATGAGATGTATAGATGTACATACAACAAAAGTGTGTGATGGTCGCAGCTGTAAAGCACCAAAATTTCAGCATCATGAGCAGTAGCGGTTCTAGGCACGGGCGAACCGGGCAGTCGCCCGGGGCGGCATTTTTTCATGTCACATGGGGGGCGGCACGAACAGTTAAAAAAAATCCTCTGTGCCGCGAAGTTTTTCTATTTTTTATCATTTCGATTCAATTATTGGCAATGGCGCCCTGCTTGCTGAGAAGGTGCCGTGCGCAGAAGCGATGTCAAGGGGATCTCCTGATTAGTTCACGTATCGCGTCTTTTGCGCGCTCGAGGTTGTTATTTCAAATCCTCTATGTTTCAAATAGGCGCACGGAGAGCGCACTCATTATGCGCTCACTGGAAGCGCGCTCATAAACTTTAGAGTATGGACGTGCACCCAAACACTTGGGTGTTTTTTCTCTTCTCCGTAAATAAATCTTTCAGCAGAGCTACAGCAAGCATTTTTCTGTGGTGGAAATACATTAACTACTAAAACATCTTTGTCGTTGTGGATAAAAGAAAAGATATACTGTGCATTATAAATGTCAGGAATGTATCTTTATTGACTCATTCTTTTTATAGAGATGATTTAAATGCTGAAATATTAAGTTTATCTTTTTATAAAACCTTTTTGTTAACCTTTTTTTAAGTTTAGTAGGTAAGATAAAAGACACTCCTTAAAAACAAATCTTTAATGTTATTAACTTGGTGAATTGATTTCACTGTGTATTAGGCTTTTTGAACAAGATTCTGTGTATGTGATCATTTTGGTCACTATATTATCTAATAATTGTCATAATGATCAACTAAAATCAACTTTAATTATGTGTTTTTACAGTAGCCTATAATATGCAATTTTTTTTTATTTGGGGGGGAGGGGGGCGCTCGAAGGGGGTCTCGCCCTGGGTGTAATTCAAAGTAGAACCGCCACTGATCATGAGGCCAAGTACACTACCGTTCAAAAGTTTGGGCTCTGTATGATTGTTTTTTAAGTGATTGTTTCAAAAGTGAAAGTAAATACATTTACAAATGTATTCTATTTCAAATAAATGCTGTTCCTATTCAACACATAATCATATTCCACCATAATATGAAGCAGCACAACTATTTTCAACATTGATAATAAATGTTTCTTGAGCAGCAAATCATCATATTAAAATGATTTCTGAAGGATAATGTTACACTGAAGATTTATTTAGGAATAAATAACATTTATATATTATTATAATTTAAATTGAGTATTTTCTATTTGAATATACACTCACCAAAAGCATTATTAGGAACACCTGTTTATTTCTCATTAATGCAATTATCTAATCAACCAATCACATGGCAGTTGCTTCAGTGCATTTAGGGGTGTGGTCCTGGTCAAGACAATCTGCTGAACTCCAAACTGAATGTCAGAATGGGAAAGAAAGGTGATTTAAGCAATTTTGAGTGTGGCATGGTTGTTGGTGCCAGACGGGCCGGTCTGAGTATTTCACAATCTGCCCAGTTACTGGGATTTTCACACACAACCATTTCTAGGGTTTACAAAGAATGGTGTGAAAAGGGAAAAACATCCAGTATGCGGCAGTCCTGTGGGCGAAAATGCCTTGATGATGCTAGAGGTCAGAGGAGAATGGGCCGACTGATTCAAGCTGATAGAAGAGCAACTTTGACTGAAATAACCACTCGTTACAACCGAGGTATGCAGCAAAGCATTTGTGAAGCCACAACACGCACAACCTTGAGGCGGATGGGCTACAACAGCAGAAGACCCCACCGGGTACCACTCATCTCCACTACAAATAGGAAAAAGAGGCTACAATTTGCAAGAGCTCACCAAAATTGGACATTTGAAGACTGGAAAATGTTGCCTGGTCTGATGAGTCTCGATTTCTATTGAGACATTCAGATGTTAGAGTCAGAATTTGGTGTAAACAGAATGAGAACATGGATCCATCATGCCTTGTTACCACTGTGCAGGCTGGTGGTGGAGGTGTAATGTTGTGGGGGATGTTTTCTTGGCACACTTTAGGGCCCCTCAGTGGCAATTGGCTCAGTTTCTGACGATGTCAATCCCTTTATGGCCACCATACCCATCCTCTGATGGCTACGTCCAGCAGGATAATGCACCATGTCACAAAGCTCGACTCATTTCAAATTGGTTTCTTGAACATGACAATGAGTTGACTGTACTAAAATGGCCCCCACAGTCACCAGATCTCAACCCAATAGAGCATCTTTGGGATGTGGTGGAATGGGATCTTCGTGCCCTGGATGTGCATCCCACAAATCTCCATCAACTGCAAGATGCTATCCTATCAATATGGGCCAACATTTCCAAAGAATGCTTTCAGCACCTTGTTGAATCAATGCCATGTAGAATTAAGGCAGTTCTGAAGGCAAAAGGGGGTCAAACACAGTATTAGTATGGTGTTCCTAATAATCCTTGAGGTGAGTGTATTTTCAACTGTATTATTAAGTCTTGGTATGCATGAGAGTCTTCTATCAAAAGCATTAAAGAAACCTTACCGATTCCAATCTTTAGAATGGTAGTGTACATGCCATATTGTTCGTGAACTATCCTTAAAGACAAAATGTTCACAATGGAGGAAATACTCAAAGAGTGTGGGATGGTTTTACACACACCATGAATGATTGGGTCACCAAAGCATGAAATGCAAATGTCTACAAAAAGGCATGGCCCATCACCCTGACAGATGCATGACTGCGGCATCTAATGGATCCTCTGACCAGACCGCTGCAATTCTGACTCGTATCTGATATTTAGGACTCTGTTCGGCATTGCACACAAACCAAATCCTCTTCGAACAGACCATCCATTTTGCATAAACGTCATTTCTAATAGAGCAGATACAGCATGTGGGATGGTTTACACAGCAGCCTGTCAGAGAATTTAGGGGCAAACACTCTTGCTTTTTTACCTTAATGCATCCCTTCCAGCTTCTCCTCAGTAGCATGGTCTACAAAAATAACAGAGCAGGTCATGTGTTACCGTAAACGCTGATTTCACGCAGTCGCCATTTTGAAATCGAAAGCGAGGCTCCACTGGGAAGAACCCCTGAAGTACAGATAGACAACACTACCACAATAATTTTATGACTACAAAAATCATGTTATTTATAAATGAACTGCACTGTATATAGTCTAAACAAGTATGAAAAAAAGTATTCTTCCCACCAGAGCCATTTCAAAATGGCGGCTGCGTGAAATCAGCGTATAAACAGGAGAGCAGGATGGAGGCGGAGACGCTTTGATTGACACCATGCTATTTTGTACTGTATATCCGATCAAGACGCATCTTCTGTTCTTGCGCTCTGACCCTTATGATCGATGTCGCCCATCAGACTGTTGTTTGATCTTCTGGTGGAACACCATGTGAATTTCAATGCGTTCTCACCCAGTACAGAAGGTTTCTAATGTCTAATTTAAAGTCATTTCATGCATTATGCAGACAGCACAACATCTCTTCATCCCAGTACAGTATCTCTCAAAGAGCACATTTGGGTCATTTTGGACTTGCATACTACTTGAATAATTTTGCAGACAGTGTGTACAGTATGCAGTTTTTTGGTACTGTATTCCTAATGCTTGTCTTGATCTTGCACGGTTCAGTGTGACTTTTACATAAAATGGATTAAAAATAGAAAATAACCATTTTCTACTGGATAACTGGATGATGCACAGAGAATTAAAAAGCAGCCTAGTAGAATGTAGTACACTATTATTTCAAATGTACACAATGAATACTGTTTAGTATATAGACTACCATTCAAAAGTTAGGGTCAGTAAGATTTTTTATTGTTTTATTATATAAAATAAGTCTCTTATTCTCACCAAGCTGATTTTATTTGATCAAAAATACAGTACAAACTGTAATACTGTGAAATATTATTTCGATTGAAATAACAGCATCATTACTCCAGTCTTCAGTGTCACATGATCCTTCAGAAATCATTCTAATATGATTAGAAACGTTTATTATAACGTTGAAAACAGTTGTGCTGCTTAATGATTTTGTGGGAACCATATTGAGAGTTCAAAAGAACAGCATTTATTTGAAATATAAATATTTTGTAACATTACAAATGTTGTTACTGTTATTGATTAATTGAATGCATCCTATATAAAAGTATACATAAAAGATGTACTAACCCCAAACCTTTGAATGGTAAGACAGAGTATACGTGTTTCCTAAAGCAAGACGACTAGATGTTAGGGCTGCTGGATTATGAAAAACAAATCATAATCATAATATAATATCATAATAATAATAATTATCGAACACAGTTAAGAGTAGGCGATATGACCAAAGTCTAAAATGTTGTTGCTTGTAACAAAGCTATTAACAAGGCTTAAGGAACAGTCAAGTTTCGCAGCTTAAAGGGCTTTTAATGAACACTTTTTAAAGGGCACCTATTATGCCCCTTTTTACAAGATGTAATATTGGTCTTGGGTGTCCCCAGAATGTATTTTTGAAGTTTGAGCTCAAAATACCCCACAGTTAATTTATTATAACCATTTGAAATTGTCATTTAAACGGGGCCTGTTTAAAAATGACCTGTTTTGGTGTATACAACCTTAAATGCAAATGAGCTGCATATCCCCGCCCTGCCTTTGGATGAGGGCGTAACTTGATACCTATGGCAGTCGGTCAGCAGAAGGGCTGAGAGAGTGAGAGACCTGCTGTTTTGAATGTCATTCAGCCTTACATGTTTGAATCGGAATAAATAAATAGTCTCTGATCAGACCCAGATGACGAAGAGACTACGGCAGAATAAACACAAATGAGAATGGACCAGTACGTCTCGGTATGGTTATTTGATACATTTATGTACTTATAGAGTTGTAATCGCGTCCCCTTTGAAATTATGGCGTTGGCGCAATTTTTTGAAACTACACATACTGTGATAAAGTTTGCTACGTACAAGTGAAATTACATTTATGCGAGGGACCTGCTGCGTCATGTTTACTTGTCATACAGGTGCTTCTGTGGCAAATGTGAGAAGATGGCTAGCTTACAGAACAAGAAAATATATGCAGTTTTTAATACAATATCTTTAAAAATATATATATTTATAAACGTATGGTTACACACTATACAAACAAGGTTCAAATTAAGTATATACACAGACATCCTACGACGACAACTTTAGATGCATTTGTTGTTGAATTGGCTGACAGTGACTGAAATGACTATTTGCTCAAAAATCATAAAATACACTTACACTCTCAGAAAAAAGGTACAAAAGCTGTCACTGGGGCTGTACCTTTTCAAAAGGTAAACTTTTGTCCATTTTAGGTGCTAATATGTACATTTTAAGTGTTAATATGTACATTTTAGGTGCTAATATGTACATTTTAGGTGCTAATATGTACATTTAGGTACTAATATGTACATTTAAGGTGCTAAGTACATTTTAGGTGATAATATGTCCATTTCAGGAGCTAATATGTACATTTTAGGTGGTAATATGTACATGTTCTGTGCTAATATGTCCATTTCAGGAGCTAATATGTATATTCAGGTACTAATATGTACAAACATTTTAGGTGCTAATATGTACATTTTAGGTGCTAATATGTACCACTAAGGTACTAATATGTACATTTTAGGTACTAATATGTACATTTTCGGTGCTAATATGTACATTTCAGGAGCTAATATGTCCATTTTAGGTCCTAATATGTACATTTTAGGTGCTAATATGTACATTTTTAGGTGCTAATATGTACATTTTAGGTGCTAATATGTATATTCAGGTACTAATATGTACATTTTAGGTGGTAATATGTACATTTTAGGTGCTAATATGTACCACTAAGGTACCAATATGCAGCCTTTGGGTACAAAAGTGTACCTTTTGAAAAGGTACAGCCCCAGTGACAGCTTTTGTACCTTTTTTTCTGAGAGTGTACTGTTGGTGCCGTTGGATCGCAAACAGTAGACGACGATCCACACTTGAGGATTAACTTTGAAGCAAGACCTGCTTTCAACTGACCCTCGTTCACAAAACAGTCAGTCAGAAAATGATTCGCTCAATCATAAACTTATTTACGAAGGAAAGGCGCGTCTTAAACTTCCAAAATACAATAAATCCACTGAGTTTTTACATCCCATCCCACAACATAACACTTATGTTTCGGGCGGGGGCAGGGTCTATGCCACAACCACACTGTCAATCAAACCCCTTGCTCAATTCTACGTCACAAAGTGCTGAATCTTAGAACAGTTCGTTCTGAGACGGTGCATATGATTTATTAAGATTGTAAAAAAGGCCACTGGGTGGATTTTTATCATTCTTGGGTGGTTTTGCTCACACACTGCCAACACACATTTATGTTCAAACACCATGTAAAAGTGAATTTTCCATAATAGGTGCCCTTTAACATCAAGCATGTCCCGTAGTAGATTCATTCTGGCACCAACTGTATATCTATTCTTCTAGCTTCAAGCATTTATTAAAGCTATATTCCAACATTAGATAATAATGATGAATATTGTCTGTACCTCTCACTGAAAGAAAGAAAATGTTATCCGTATGTTTTGGCACTACATTTTCATAATCTTTGGAAGGTTCCAAAATTGAAATCAAAACTCTTTTTTTAACTTGCTGACAGCTAGATATAGTTTCTACAGTCTCAAGAGAAAAGTGTGAAACAAATGTGAGGTTTGCAAATGTGTCAGAATTAAGTCTTTTTGGATGCATGTTGAGGGTTTGCTGGCAGATTTCCTCTTCCCCAACTTTAACAAGTATTAAACAACATTAATCTGCCAAATGAGTCTCACCGCCTGTCTGAGGGCCTCTCTGTCCTCTGTGCTTCTTGGGAACAGAGTGACTGCCAGCTCCAGAGAGCCCAGGTCCTGATCAGGGCAGTGAGGATCTTGAAGGTCCAACCGAACATCAAGAGGTCTGTGACAAAAACATGGCTTGTTATGACAACCATTATAAGTAGTTTAACACCTAAAGAAAAGTATAGAACTTTTTTATAAATCTGTTTACAATCACATTGTGGCCGCCTATGACCAGCCAAATTTTAAGGACACTTTAAGTCATTAAAATAATAATGGATGACAACTTAAGTATGCTTGTCACTATACTTTACAATGCATCAGTAACTTTGCATCCACAGAATTACCCAGCCAACATTTGTATGTGGGGCCCATCTGGGTATTAAATGAGCTGGAAAAATGGGCCCCATGTAGGATTGTCCGCGGGTTACATAATGGCCCCATGTTAATTTCCCAGATTAATTTCATGTAGGATTGCACTTGGTACTAGGCCGGACCCAAGTGGGCAACATGCGCAAGACCCATCTCGGGCCCAGCTTTATGTCATTATAAACTCTTATAGAAAACAACAGAACATTAGCAAAAATAACCTTGTCACCATTCATTTCATAAAACTACTCTAGATAGTTAGCTAATACATTTGAACACTGTTTTGATGCTAATTTAAAATGTATTCATTTGAGACAAAAACTTGAAATCTTATATAATTTCAGTAATAATGAAGACATGATACCTCAAGTGCTCCAGAGACTCAAGATAGAGGTAAGCTGAGCCCATGAAATCATCTTGAAGGCCAAAATCATAGTCAAACACCTAAAATAGATTGCAAGAGGGAAAATTCTTTAAGGGATACTCCACCCAAACATGAAAATTCTGTCATCATTTACTCACCCTCAAGTTGTTGCAAACCTTTATGAGTTTCTTTCTTCTGGTGAACGCAAAGGAAGAACTTTGGCACCATTAACTTCTAGAGTATTTTTTTTTTTTCAAGTCAATGGTGCCAAACAACTGTTTGGTTCCAATCTTTCTTCCAAATATCTTCCTTTGGGTTCAGCAGAAGAAAGAAACTCATACAGGTTTGAAACAACTTGAGGGTGAGTAAATGATGACAGAATTTAATTTTTGGGTGAAGTATCCCTTTTAAGGAGTAGTTCACTTTTTAAAAAAAACTTTTGCTGATAATTTACTCACCCCCATGTCATCCACGATATCCATGTCATTCTTTCTTCAGTCGAAAAGAAATTAAGATTTTTGATGAAAACATTCCAGCATTTTTATTCGAACCAAACGGTTCAAGGTCCAAAAGACAGTTTCAGTGCAAAATGCAAACTGTTCAAAGGGCTTTAAACGATTCCAGACGATAAATAAGGGTCTTATCAAGCGAAACGATTTAAAAATCGTTATTTAAAAATGTTAAAATGATTTTTAAAAAAAATAACAAAGTTTAAGTTTTATAAGCTCAAATGGTTGCCTTGCTCTGTTCTGTCATGTGCGTTCGTGACTCTCCTGTTCGAACTCGTTCATCAAAATGGACGAATCTTTTCCCGAGTCAACTCGTTCATTTCATTCGTTGAATGAACCAAATGACACGAAAAAAAGATTTGTTCATTTGATAAACGAGTTTGAACTGGAGAGTTACGAACAGAACAGAAAAGAGCAAGGCGACCATTTGTGCTTATAAAACTTAAACTTTGTTATTTTTTTTTTTAAATGAGCGATCGTTTCACTTGATAAGACCCTTATTCATCGTCTGAAATCATTTAAAGCCTTTCGAACAGTTTGCAGTTTGTACTGAAACTCTCATTTGGACCTAGAACTGTTTGGGTCCCAGTAAAGTGCATTATATTGAGAAAAATCCTGGAATGTTTTCATCAAAAACCTTAATTTCTTTTCGACTAAAGAAAGAAAGACATGGACATCTTGAATGACATGGGGGTGAGTAAATTATCAGCAAAAGTTTTTTTTAAAGTGAACTACTCCTTTAAAGGAAGAAATACATCAGAGATCATCCTAGATTTCAGTTGACCACATAGATCAGACAAGACTGTATTTATTCCAAAAGATGTTAACACCTTTTTAATCAGTTTTTAGCGTAAATGAAATCCAATTTATAACTTGTCGTTCAATAAACAAGTCAGATTAACTCCTCTGACTGACAAATAATGGTTTTCAATTCATTAAAGTGCACTTGTGGTGAAAATCAATCTATTAATGTTCTTTATTCTTCTATGTGGTGTTTTTAACGCTTTAAGACAAACCATGTGCAAATTCTCAAGTCCACACAATCGCTGAGTATTTTCTCCTTAACCCTAAAACCGTATTCTGGACAAATGTGGGCAAAATAATTTTGATTTATTTTTAAAAAATACTTCCCTAGATCTGAGCGGTACAAGACTTGGCTACTTTTCCTAAGTTTGCCTCCTGAACACACACATTTTTTTTTTGACTCAATTCTACAATGTTAAGTGGGTGAAAAATAAAAACTCCTTAATCTTGTATTTGGGTCAAAAATAGGCACCCATAGAAATGAATGGGAAAAACTGTAATTTAGAGCATTCTAAAATAAGCCAAAATAAGACACCAGGTGACAGCAAAGTCACTTCATCTTTAGGTTTTATCTCTAAGAACTTATTGGAATAATATTTTAATGTAGTTAAAAAAAAAAATAAAACATAAAAATAAGCATAATTTACATAGAAAATATGGTACTTTTTGAAGTAAATAAATTCAAAAATACCCCCAAAATAAAATAAAAACACCATAAATGGATAGACAAAACTTTATCGAAGACAATGATATAACATTTATAATAAATAAAAATTAGGATCACACCTAAGTCCTCTGTGCCCACATTTGTCCAAAATTACCGGATTAAGGGTTTGAAATAGCTGGTGTTTCAGACGTCGCAAACTGTAACCAATCAGATCACAGTGTGATCGTCAACGAGTGGATCTCTGAGCTGAGTTGAGGCGGGGCTAATTTGCATATTCATAGAACCGAGGCAAAGGTGTAGAGTTACATTCAAGCTATTTTAAGGCATGAAAAAACAAGGAAAGAACATTTAAGTTATTCAGGTGATCAAAGAGTTTTAAGGGATCTAATTATTTACTACAGGGGACTTAATAAGTAATATTGTATTGGAATAAGTAATATTGTATTGGAAGTAAAATAAGTAATATTGTATTGGAAGTGCCTTATATTGTTCGTGCAGTAATGTTTTTGTTTCGCTAAAAAGGACCAGCTCATGAGAGTCATTTTTTTAGGAATCCTGAATTTCCAAAATCAGTGTTTTTGATTCACTAAAACGAGTCATTTGTTCGGCAATTGGACAGAACAGGCTGCACAGGCACAGTACCTTTTTGATTAACTAAAAAGACTAATAAGAGTAATTTATTCGGGAATCGGACTACACTGGTCGAGCAATAGGCTTTTGATTCACTAAAACAAACCACCTCATTAGAGTCATTGATTTAGGAATCAGACTACACCGGTAACGCCGTATATTTTTAATTCACTAAAACGAACCATCTCAGAGTCAATCACTCAGTATATTTTTGATTCATTAAAAGGAATCGCCTCATGAGCGTCATTAATTCAGGTTTCGGAAAACACTGTTCAAGCTGTATGTTTTTAATTCACTAAAATGAAACGGCTCATAAGAGTAATTCGTTCAGTTTTTGAACTACATTATGCTGGAAACACGGAAAAACAAGCAATATATGGGTGATCTATCAGCATTTAGCAATAAAAGCTGTATTTGTTACCTTAATATATAGAGGCTCCTGTAAATTGTCCACTATCAGGCAAACACGCTCGTCCCAAACCGGGTTAAGGTTCTTGTGTATGATTTTACTGCGGAAAACTTCTTTACCAGCTATTTTGAACTTCACATATGGGTCACTTGTTCCTGAAACATATAAAGTTTTGATTGCAACATACTGATTAAACAACTATTGAACATTTAAATAGCTTATAGATACAACGTAAAACACATTTCCCGGACAGTAAACGCATATTTACAGTAACATAACAACATGAGCATTAAAATTGCAGATCTTACCACCTCTGTCTCGAATGGCAAGGTTGTTTCCTCTTTTCAGCACAATGTCCAACTGGTACATTGCTGAGATAGGCATTAAAGTCTGTATGCCACCGTTACCAGCTGCATTAACGCCCTGAAGAAAACAGACATTGTTCCACAAACTTTAGTGCACATATGACATGCACAAACACAGAGTATCCAACAGCATTAATGCCAAAACTTATAGCATGTGAGAGTTTTACTTGCTCAAACATGATTATAGGGAGAACTCTGTTGTTAAATACAATGTTTAGATAAGCCCCAATATAACCTATGCCTGGTGATGCAATTTATGATTCAAATTAAGACAGGATGTTGCAAGATGCTAAAAACAGATAAAACCACCGAGTACATAACATTGAGCTCATCTTATTTTACAGAACAAGTGAAATGCTTTATATTCTGTTCTAACAGTTTTATATTAGAATGGCACTCTGCATTAATTTAACTGGACTCTTTACAACACATCATCATGTTTTCAGTTCTTATACAGAACAGTGGTAGCAGTCTTACTGTGTGTAATGGCATGTTGCAACATGACAAGTTTGTTGCAGCAAGTAAATGATCTGTCCACAATGAAAGCAAGAATGCTGTGCAATTTGGCACGATGACAGCTAATCAGAACATATTCAATGGTTATAATATGATTGGGGAATTCCACAGTTTTCATACTTTTCTGAAAGTCAGCACACATTTTTAGTTTTTAAACAGGTTAAAATGCTATTAAACTAAAATGTGAGAGTCACAATGTGGTGTAAGGGTGTGTTGTTCACACTTGGCATGTTTAGTTTGATTAAAATGAACCCTGGTGTGATTGCTCTGTTTGTGCGGTTCATTTGAACGTGTGAACGCTGCCGAACGTGTGAACCTTGCTGCCACCAAACAAGCGGTTCGAATTAAATATGAATGTAACACGGACCATAGACATGTAAACAAACCAAAAACAGAAATATGAGACCCTAAAAACAACAGAATGCTCACGTATAATTATTATTATTTTTTTTGTCATGTTTTGGATGTTCGAGTTCAGTCGCGAAAATGTAATAAAAGCTGACCAATCAGGGTGTGAACATATCCCTATTCCTAACGCCAAGCGAACCAGGACTAATTGGCCTGGTCTGGACCAAGCGAACCAAGCAAATGAACTACAAGTGTGAGCACACCCTTATATCTGTTTGCTGTCAGTGGCTAATATTTGTGTAGGAAGTGAAGCACTGTTGTGTGTGTCATGTCAAATTCACACATCTGACAGCACTTAAAACTGTCCAGAATAAGTAATGTATTGTTTCTGGTGATGTAGCCTAGTACAATGGTTTGGTCTGAAAAGTTGTGGATTCATAAACTATATCATTGTGTCCTTGAAAACCAAAGTCATTTAAAGAAGCCATATCATGGAAAACAGTGTTGTTTTTTAAAGGGATACTCCACTTTTTTCTTTTTTCTTTTTTGGAAATATGCTCATTTTACAACTCCCCCAGAGTTAAACTGTTGAGTTTTACCATTTTTGAATCCATTCAGCCGATCTCCGGTTCTGGCGGTACCACTTTTAGCATAGCTTAGCATGCATCATTGAAGTGCACAAGACCATTAGCATTTCTTCCAAAATATTACCAAAGTGTTTCGATATTTTTCCCATTTAAAACTTGACTCTTCTCTAGTTACATCGTGCACTAAGACAGACGGAAAATGTAAAGTTGCGAATTTCTAGGCTGATATGACTAGGAACTATACTCTCATTCCTGCGTAATAATCAGGAAACTTCACTGACGTGCCATGAGTGCAGCAGGCGCGATGACTACACAAACTTAGTCCCGGTCACGTTGGAGGCTGGGCAATATTTTCAGATGCTGCGTCATAACATTGCGCCTGCTGCACTCATGGTGCGACAGTGAAGTTTCCTGATTATTACGCAGGAATGAGAGTATAGTTCCTAGTCATATCAGCCTAGAAAATTGCAACTTTACATTTTCCGTCGGTCTTAATGCATGATGTAACTACAGCAGAGTCAAGTTTTTCAATAGGAAAAATATCGAAACACGTTGGTCATTTTTTTTTTAGAAATGCTAATGGTCTTGTGCACTTTAATGATGTATGCTAAGCTATGCTAAAAGTGGTACCGCTAGAACTGGAAATCGGCTGATCGGATTCAAAAATGGTAAAACTCAACAGTTTAACTCTGGGGGAGTTGTAAAATGAGTGCATTTCCAGAAAAAGTGGAGTATCCCTTTAAATGTAAGAATACTAGTTACAAGGAAAATTAACATGAACGAGCAAGAAACCTTGACCAGTATAAGTGGCGAAAAATGAAATGCCACAAAACTGTAGAATATTGCAAAAATTTTGGGAGCGCAAGGGGATCTGTGGGGAAAATATGATTTTTTTTAAAAAAATACATGTCTAAATATCTACCTTTGAAAAACTCTGGAATATAGTGTTCTGGACACTCTAAAGGTGTTGCTTGGGTGTTCGAAAGAGCCCACCAACAAGTCTCTGTGATATTCTGATCTATAGGCATTCGGTCAGATCGCCCTTCAATAAGTCAATCAAGTAAAAAGCGCAGGTCTGATTATTTAGAAAAGTATTAGCACACCTCTTTCCCAAGCCTCTTCCTCGTCCTCAGTGATTTGACACTAAATTCATGTCTGTGGCACAAATGGTGCGGAACGGGTTATGTGGCAATGTATAATATTTCAGGTCTTTAAAAAAACAAAGCACCACTTCTTATGTCACATAAACACACAGGCACTATTTGACAAACTTACACTTCCCCTTTTTGCCCTTGAGCAACAGATGAGGTGAAAAACACATTTTGGTCACACATTAATGTGTTTGCAGTGTCAGCTGAAAGCAGGTGAGATTTACATTGCTGGCCTTTAGGGCGTATTTAACATCCTTTTTAGTGACAGGGTATAGAATATAAGGATATCGAATATTTTTATTAGAAGGGAATTCCCCTAACAACATCCTGGTGTGTGACGATACGGATGTTCTGATGGCTCATTTAAATTTAGAAATCCAATATTTATCTTCCTGCATTTCAAAAGACAACAATATCTGGGATAACATCTCTATAATATTTCTGCTCCACTCGCCAAACAGAATTCCAAATATGACGAATGACAGGTTTTGCCTCCTCCTCTGCTGATTGGTCAGTCACACAGTCGTGTGCCAAACTCACATCTGAAAATCTAATTATATTCATTTCACCGAGAGATGCATGATTTGGGTAATAAGAATCTTACTGGGATTTTTCAGATTTAAAAAAAAATGATTTTGAACCACAGGTAGACATTAAAAGCCAGATTTACTAACAACTTGCACCAGTGCAAACATTGTTTTGCCTTTAAAAAAACTACTGTCAGGATTTAATGAAGACGTGCAGTGAAAAATTAGCGTTATTTTTGTGGCTGACCTTATTGTAGGAGTTTCCATTTCAGACGCAAAATTCATGGGAGGAGAGTATTTAAATGAATCATGCATTTGCATTTGTCAACTTACTGGCATTTGCGCCATTATTTATCGCTCAGAAAAAGCATGTCTAAACCAGACACTAATTTGCACTGCTCTTGTGTTAGTCGTTATGGAAATGATCCAACGTCTGTGTTCTTTAATTTGACTTCTTTTGCTTCGCTCTGAAAAACGCAGCGCATGTATTTAAGCAAATCGCAGCCTTTGCAATCCGATAATTACACTAAGCCATGTCAAGGTTATAGTTTTATTTCGAGTAATTGTCCAGCCCTAGTTCCATCCCTTCCCTATAAGATCTGTTCTGTACCGAGTATCTTTGTCAGAAAAGACACCTGTTGTTTCATCTCCGCTGTGAGGTAATTACAAGAGTAGATCTCCAAAGGAGAAAGACATTGAAATGAAAAAATGGTGCCAGACATTAAAAACACATCAACCGCTGCACTGAAAATCTTCTTTGAGGTTTGTACAAGCTCATGTTGATTGTGCCTATGAATCAAATTCTCATAATAAGATCCCTATTTCTCCATAAAGTAGAAACAGTGTGAGTGTGACAACCCAAACACAAGTTATTTTCATTAGAGATAATAAAGACACAACAAAACCGTCATTTTGTACTCAACGCCAATGATTTGCAGCAACAAAGCAACCAGAAATCGTTCAAAATGAGCAAAAGAGTCTGTCCTTTATGCAAATCTGCATTAGTGCAATGGGATATGGATACAGTTAGATTGATGATTGAACATAGGCAAGAGAAAATGTTTCAGAATGACACGACAAGGGGTTTAACAGGAAGGTGAAGTGGTTGGCAATATGGTGTTAAAATTACTGAACCACTTCCTGTTTGAAAAGCAGCTTTTAAACATGGAAAGTCTGGTTCCATTATATGGGCCTCAGAGGATGTGCAAAATGCACTTGTATTAGATGTTGTAAGACAAGAAACGTGATCAGTTTTGTTGTTTCCATGCATGTCTGATATGTAGCATTTAGGCCCTGAGCAGTCAGACACTATCATGTCAGTAAACGTTAACTTCATAAAAAAGTTCAACTTACCCACGTTAACTTCAACCAACCCACGGCCTCATACTAACCTTAAAATGGCGTAACAACTGTATCAGATTAATATCTTAAAAACTAAGGACAATATAGTTCAAAATTGGTTCCAGATCGTAGAAATTATATCGTAGAAAAATATATATATATACAATCACCAAAAGGATTATTAGGAACACCACACTAATACTGTGTTTGACCCCCTTTTGCCTTCAGAACTGCCTTAATTCTACATGGCATTGATTCAACAAGGTGCTGAAAGCATTCTTTAGAAATGTTGGCCGATATTGATAGGATAGCATCTTGCAGTTGATGGAGATTTGTGGGATGCACATCCAGGGCACGAACCTCCAGTTCCACCACATCCCAAAGACGCTCTATTGGGTTGAGATCTGGTGACTGTGGGGGCCATTTTAATACAGTCAACTCATTGTCATGTTCAAGAAACCAATTTGAAATGATTTGAGCTTTGTGACATGGTGCATTATACATCAGAGGATGGGTACATGGTGGCCATAAAGGGATGGACATGGTCAGAAACAATGCTCAGAAAGGCCGTGGCATTTAGACGTTGCCCAATTGGCACTAAGGGGCCTAAAGTGTGCCAAGAAAACATCCCCCACACCATTACACCACCACCACTAGCCTGCACAGTGGTAACAAGGCATGATGGATCCATGTTCTCATTCTGTTTACACCAAATTCTGACTCTACCATCTGAATGTCTCAACAGAAATCAAGACTAAACAGACCAGGCAACATTTTTCCATTTTTTGTCTAATTTTGGTGACCTCTTTTTCCTATTTGTAGTGGAGATGAGTGGTACCCGGTGGGGTCTTCTGCTGTTGTAGCCCATCCGCCTCAAGGTTGTGTGTGTTGTGGCTTCACAAATGCTTTGCTGGATACCTCGGTTGTAACGAGTGGTTATTTCAGTCAAAGTTGCTCTTCTATCAGCTTGAATCAGTCGGCCCATTCTCCTCTGACCTCTAGCATCAATAAGGCATTTTCGCCCACAGGACCGCCGCATACTGGATGTTTTTCCCTTTTCACACCATTCTTTGTAAACCCTAGAAATGGTTGTGTGTGAAAATCCCAGTAACTGAGCAGATTGTGAAATACTCAGACCGGCCCGTCTGGCACCAACAACCATGCCACACTCAAAATTGCTTAAATCACCTTTCTTTCCCATTCTGACATTCAGTTTGGAGTTCAGGAGATTGTCTTGACCAGGACCACACCCCTAAATGCATTGAAGCAACTGCCATGTGATTGGAAGGATGATTAGATAATTGCATTAATGAGAAATTGAACAGGTGTTCCTAACAATCCTTTAGGTGAGTGTATATATTCCGTTAATTAAATTCAGATTCAAATTTATTTTGTTTTTTTTCAAGGTAATTTTCTACAACCAGGTTTTCCATGACTGTACCTTGCAGCTCAGCATAACTGCAATTCCCACATACCATGAATTGACACAGTTAAGAAAACGAGTGTCCGCATGCTAAAATCCACTCCTACGGGTGTCGGGAATTGTAGAGGAGTTCATCTAAGTTGCTTGCTCCGTTGCCAGACCTTGAGTCACAGATAGATGGGAAAGTGCCACTAATACGAAACAGATTTCTTTAAAAAACATGCTGCTGTCTTTCAAACCTCCTAGCCCTTCCTCAGAACTTTAACCACAAATTAAGCTCAGGCAGCTCCATACCAAGACTGTTTATCAAGTCCAGACATGTAATGAAGTAAAGAGAGAGCCTATTTGGTCCAGAGGAACTCAGAGTTTTTCAACTGTTTGACTCTGATCTCAGCTGCACTGTTGGTGGCTGTAAAACGAGTGATGTAATGGATTGGGATGGACATATACTGTACAGAAAACTTAAAGCTAATGCAAATAAAAATTCAATACTAGCCAAACTTTATAGCTCTTTATATGTAAATATTTAAAGGGATAGATCACCCAAAAATGAAAATACTGTCATCATTTACACCCCTTCATGTCATTCCAAACCACTATAACTGTATAAGTTACTTTACAACTACATGTCAACTAGAGCCCTGTTTACACCTTGATTTGAAGTCACTGAATCGGATGATTCGCCAACAGACATTCTATACTTAGTGGCCTATCTTTGTAAGTACATTTCAACTTATTCTACTTACCCCAACCTAACAATCTACTAATACTCTAATGATAGTTAGTTGACAAGTAGTTGCAAATTTACTTTGTCTAGAACCGACTTTCTTTCTTCCAAGGTACACAAAGCAGATATTTCGAAAAACATGTCGTGCAGAACAGAGAAAGTACTAAGTTTGGAATGACTGCTGTTTTCAATTATGTCTAGCAGAGAGAGAAAAACTACAAACGATCTTTATTACTGATCTTAAAGTATGATGAACATTAGACCACCAATAAAAAGAAAATAACCAATGTAATTCAGTTAATTAATGAACCTCACTGCTTGTCTTCAAGCCCGTGTTAATGTGTCTTTACTTTTAGGCAAGTTTCTCTTCTTGCAAACCAGCTTGGCAAACACCCTCCGGCAACTAACTATACAGTGCCAACACAACTGAGACTAACAGTTTGTAGAAAACAACTCAACGTCATGACCAAACTTCACAGGTTTTTAAAGAAAATCATAATTTACATTTAATCATTTAGCAGACGCTTTTATCCGAAGCAATAGAAGCAATAAATCCAACAATAGTGCAACAAAATGCAAGTGCTGTGACTAGTCCCATTTTGTATAGCACAGTACAGGTAGTATGTTTTTTTGTTTTGTTTTTGTTGTTATGGAAAAAAGGTAGACTAGTCCTAAATAATTACAAGCTTGTTCTTGTGAGGATGGGGATCTGAAATGAGTTTGACTATGCAAACACATAATTTTGCATGTACAAATGTCAAAATGGACATGCACAGAAACACCTCATGTAGGTGTACTGTGCACAGTATCAAATGTTAAAAATGTGTAACAAGGTATGTTGATAAGGGAAGAAAGAGAAAAGTTCAACAACTGCGATTACAATAAATAAACACAAAGCGAAAGTAGAAAAACGGCAGAACCTGACAGACCACCTCCGCAAACACATTAACCTAATAAAATAACATAAATATCCAGGCCTGGTCCTCTCTCATCCTTCACTTTCTCGCAATCTCCCTTGAGAGATCCTTGCCAGTGTGCAAGGGCAAGGTTAAGCATGCATGCAACAAAGTGATTGTCTACTGAGCATTAGGAGTTCTGAACTGATTTCAGCCTGTGTTACCCTGGTTTTACAGAACATGGTGTCTAGCTGAACCATGCGAGTCAAGCTGAGAGTCGAGATTAACCTGCACACCTTGATCAAGTTGGTTATGAGTGGCAGATCACCTTGAACCAGAAAGAAAACAGCTACCAGGTTACAAAAACCAGCTTAAACTAGCATGCCGTTGTTTTTCCGACAGAAACCTGACTGTGATTGATCACTTTCTATATAAGGAAATGCATTTATTTTATTTCAATTGCAGCAAACTTATTTTCAAAAAGCCTAAATTCATTGTGTACATTAAATATGATTTGAATACATTTAAGTGCTGGCGGATGTGGCATCACAAATCCCTGAGGGCTCAGTTATCCATAATAAATTTACCAAAAATGTGTTACACGTAACACCTTTGAATACTCACTCTATTTTTTTTTTTTTTTTTTTAACAGAGTGATTTCAAAAACATCTGCAAATGTAATGTAGACAAACTAGCTGTCACGGATCCAATACAAAACTAACAACTGCATCACTTATTGCTGCAGTGCAATGACCACAAAAAAAAAAAAAAAAAAAAAAAAAAACAACTGAAACATCTTACCACACTTTTTTTGACCTCTTCTTCATTACCATTCATCACAACATCATCAATGCATGTGGACATTGGCGGAGCAGGTTTTTGTTGAGACTGCACCAATTGGGAGAGTGACGGTTTGGAGCTGACGCTTCTTTTCAACATCTGGATCTCCGCACCGAGCGACGCTGCAGCTGTTGCCGCCTCACCGACACTCTGCTCCCGCATGCCGCAGCGCGTCCTCTCGCTGTCACCGTTATCCAGAGCTGTCTCTGCGCTGGGCAGATTGGGTTGTGACGAAGACATCGCTCGGTCCAAACCATTCGGTCGTTTCTTTTTAAATATCCAAAACCTACTTTCTTGCTTTCTGTCCTTTTTGCCCAGTTTGGGGCTACCAGTGAGTTTGGCTTTGCCGTGGAAGGATTTCCACAAGCCCCGCTGATGATGGGATGGAGAAACATCATCCATGTCCAGTTCCCCTTCCATTCCCTTCCTTTCTCTGCAGTCTGCTTCTGTGTCTCAGTCAGATTTTTCTGTCAGGTTGATGTTAAAACATGCAAACCAATGCAAATGCCATTTACTTCAGTGTTGTGCTCAGCAGGACATGTTGAGCGTTAAAAACATGTTTGATGCGGAAGTTGTGATGGAGAGCCAAGTTCCTCGACACCACATCTGCTAACCTTTATGTTTCATAAAACAAGCCAGTCCCCCAGCATGTAGCCCTCATCCACGCCCAGTATTTAAAAAAAAAGTTGCAGACCCATACTTATTAATACTGTAAGCTGTCTCATGCATGCGGTGTTCCTTCCCGCCGAGGTTTTATTTACATGCAATTCTGTTAAACCCCTGCTTCGTGGAACGTTAATCTGATACAACGTGGTCAAGATTCTCATATGCAAATATACGTTTGTACCACAAGATAAACTTGTGACTGGCACATTTTACGCACAGATTACACGCACTGTCTGTGCAGCACACCTTGGATCGTGTTTTTGAACTGGACCACCTTGGCTTGAACAAAACCGTTCTCGTTCACATTCAATTCAAAGACAGCATTCTGAGATTGATTGTAACCAATAGCGTTGCGATATTTGATTGATTGGAACTACGGAACGAATAAGCCATCTTTGCTGGCTTTCTAAACGTGTTCGTGATTCGTGAATGAACTAAATGAATGGGTCAAAATCGACTTCACAATTTCCACACACAAAAACCCCTGAGATTTTCCATTTAACTTTAAATTAACTGGAAGCTGACAATAAACGAGCACCATTAATTATGTCCACCCTCTCATGGACAAATTCAAAGTAGAAAAAATATATTTTCATTGCATAGTGATTATAAAATGTAGATCTGCAGAAAGATAATGTGTCGCTTTCCCAACAAAACATTTTAGTTAATGGTAGGGTTAGTTAATGGTAGGGTTATCAAAAGGTATTTTGATAAAAAATGAATTTCTTGCCTAAATATGTTTTCCCAATAAAATATGCGATAGATGTACATTCTTTTCTAAATAAAATCTAACAACAAAAATTTAGTCAAACTTTTAAACAATACTAACTGGGCCTTATTTGTTTATTGAGAAATCACATAAGGTTTTGATAATTAGTTTATTTTCATATTAAGTTGAACATGACTGGGTGGACAACTAGATGACAAGGGTGGAACTTATGGAATGCCAAAGCTGACTACATTAAAAATAAATAAATACATAAAA